GGTTGTCATTTAGACAGATTCTCTTTATTCGATTTTTGATTTTCAAGTTGAGGTTTCGAATATGTGAAGTTATTTCATATTATTAGAGAATATGTTGTCCTTCATTGAGTGTATAAGTTCACCTTATATACACCGATTGCATTAGGATTTTTCTAGAGATTTATTGTACTTTGCTAATTTTACATAAGGTGGAGTTTGATTTTTCGGGGTGATAGTAGAAAAATTGACATAAGTCATTCTTATACCACTTTATACTCCCCTGAGTTGTCCGGCTTGTTTTTTGAAAGTCAATTTGACTTATCTTTGAAGTTAAGTTAGCTCAGATTAACATAATATTTTAAAATTATTATTTAAATATTTTAAAATTATGTACATGAAAAGTATTATAAGTTACACTTATTCTCGTATTAATATAAGATAGTAAAAGTGGATAGAGGAAGCATTTGAAAAGAAAAAAATAACTTCTTTGAGTAAAAGTGAATTGTCTAAAAACATAGACCAACTTTTTAAGTTTGAATTCTTTTTAAAGACAATTTTAAATTATAATTCAAAATATTTGGTCAAACAAATATTTTAAGAAAAATTATTACAATCTGATCTTAAATTTATTATTATACTTATTTTAGCCTAAAAACAAATACTTAAGAATATTTTTTTGTTTTACTGATACATTATAAAAGTACTTAAAGTTGTCTTGATTTAGTCTTCCTAGCATAGCATTCTTTCAAAATGCATAAGGGAAAACGTCAAAAGCTTAACGATATCACCATTGATGGAGAAAACGAACTCCAGACTTGAGTAGCAAACTTCCGGATGAACTTTTACACTCAATCATCTCATTTCTTCCAACTAAAGAAGCTGTAGCAACTAGCGTATTTTCCAAACGCTGGAGATTCCTTTGGAAATCTCTGTCTCGATTGTATTTGGATCTATACCAAATCAACAATCACTATGCGAGAAGTCTAGCCATTGCTGACAAGATTGTTTCATCACTCTCTTTTAGTGTTGAATTTTTTCACCTGCATCACTACCCAAGAACCTGGGTGCGCTTCAATTACATGCTCCGATGGATTGATTTTTTGAAAAAAGAAAAAAAACTAAAAGGGATTTCTCTTTCATGTGATAGAATTACTGCAATGAATTTTATCAGGTGGTTTGCGTATCGAAATTGGGAGAGCGTATTATTCATAAATTTGTTATACCAAAAGGAAACATATTTAAAGGGAGATTTCTTCAATTTGTGGAGTTAAATGAATATGTTTTAAAAAATTATTTACCTTTTAAAGGTTGTGTCAATATTAAGACCCTAAAACTCGGAGGTTGCTTATTGGGCGATAATACCCTAGTTGAAATCCTCAAATATTGCAAGGAGTTGGAGAAATTGACCCTTCGACATTGTTCCTGCATGTCAACCGATGTGAGCATTCGTCACCAAAACTTAAGTTATTAGAGATTTTTCATATGGAAGAACAGAGTTTTTGCCTAATTTCAAACAACCTAGATAAGTTAGTGTTGGAAAATTGTGTGTTTTCAACCACAAAATCTCGTATTTTGTGTCCAAACCTTCGAGTTCTCCAGACAAATGTCGCTTGGCTGCCGGGTTTATTGGTAAGATTTTTTCTCTCCCCCCTATTATATTTAGTACATTTTAATTTTGCATTTTAAGTATTATGCATGTTCTCTAGTATAATATTGGCCCGAGTAGAGACACATGTTTTCTTTCAATCATCACTAGTGTCCTTGATGCCCTACTTACTTACACTATGACAAACTTTGTAGGGAGTTCTAACGGAATTACAATAAGGAGCAGCGATAACATTTTCACTAGCAGGTACATCATTTACCATATATACATACAAAATATTTTATTCTTGTACCTACAATGTGATATTCCAATGGAAAAGATTTAGATGAATCCCTTTTCACTTTTCTAGCTATGCAATCTAAGTGCGAGAGATGTAAAATCTCGTAGCAAAAGCTTGATGTGCTAAAGGTTACGGAGAACTATAAATATTTGATTGTGAATTTAGTTAGAATAGTAATATTATTTTTTAAGTCATTATAAAAATTCACACTTTAAATTTTTAATCTGTATTTGATTGTAGGTACTGCCACTCTTAAAAGGAGAATTCACATGGGATAGTCCAGCAAACTTCAGCATAAAGCTCAACTCATTTGATCATATTTTGTACTAAGATCCCCCCCCCCCCCCCCCCAACAAACCCTCCTTTTGTTATGAAGCAATATCTAATTGGGATGAAGTATAGTATAGTAATCCCAATATTGTTTTTTTTTTAAATACAATGTTTCTTTTGATTGTTAATTTACTTGAATTTTATTATCATATTTTTAAATATGTTATTGTGTAACGACTGATTTAGTGTGATTGTGTCATTACTTTACTTTCCCCCTCATCTTGCCCTTTTACCCTGCCTCTTATAAAAATAATTGTATCCCATACCATACTTTTTTTTCTTTGTAATATTGTAAGCTTAATGATGTGAAATACATAGTTAATCCAAACATTATATTCATCAATAAAATACATTAGAAAATAACAGGTAACAAATTACATCCAAACAAGTTATAATAAAAATGGCAATTAGTTTGCTATGAGAAGTTCTTTTCCTAGAAGGAAACCAAAAACAAAAAAGAACTCGATGGGATTTCACTTTACTAAGTAATGCTTCACCATTTAAAGGTTGTGTCAATGTTAAAACCCTAAAGCTCACGACGTGCATTATATGCAAAGGAACCCAATGTCATTGTATGTGAAGGAACCCTAATTGACGTCTTCGATAATTGCACGTTGTTGGAGAATTTGACCCTTTGTGCTTGTAACACGTGGCTAGATCGATTCATGTATCGATCATATGCTCATGTAACATATATAGGTGGATCCAAGATATCAATTTGATGAATTCAATTTGCAGGTTTATATTTATGGAATTATAAGTTTATAATCTATAATTTATTATAATTTTAGTAATTTTGCATATATATTTTTATGTTTCGTATAAAAAACATTGGGTTCACTTGAACCCGATAATTATATTTTGAAAGATATCTTTATTAATCATTAACTTGTCATTTTTCCTTCTTGATGTGTTCCCTTAAACTTAATGAATTCCACATTCGTGAAAGTGTTTAACTTACGTGTATTGTCAGTATATAGATTTTTTACATTTTCGATTGGGTTAAGTTTAATAAATTATTACAATAAATAAATTTCACATCAAGTTTGATAAGTAACTTGGAAAATATATAAAAGAGTACTAATATGCTATTATCGAATTAAACATTACGAAATGGATTTGGGCTTGGGTTTGGGTTTGGGCTCAGGCTCACTACAACAAAAGAGATATTTAGTGATAATATTTATTATCACAAAAATATTTAGCGGCAATTGAATTAATGTCATTATATTCATAGTCACTAAATTAACGATATTAATATAGAGTATTAATTATAAATATTTATATTTATTATTACCGCAAAAAAAATAATTTGTTGTAGTGGCTCATCGGTATTAAAAAATGATCATAGAGGAGAAGAACTATGTCCATGGTACTTTGGAATACCGCGTATTGAGAAATTAGAAGTCCATTGTGGACATGTTCTTTTGTCACAAATTGGATAAGTCAAGAATTTTCACTTGCATCACCACCCACAATATTGGGACGTTGACATGCTATGATGAATTGAATTCTTGAAATATGAGAAAAAAAAAACTCGAGGAAATTTCACTTTCTTGCGATAGAAATAGTTCAAAGTGTTGTTTGAAAGGTGGATTGTTCATGTTCATCGGTGCAAAAAGGTTGTTGTAAGAAGCATATTTATACCAATGAACGCATTCAAGACAAGATTTCTTTGTGTGGTGGAATTAAGAGAATACGTATTGAGAGAATGTGTCACACCCTTTAAAGGTTGCGTCAATGTGAAAACCCTAAAACTCATCATGTCCAGTGTAAACGAAGAAACCCTAATCAACGTCCTCGATAATTGTGAGTTATTGAAGAATTTGAGTCTTTGTGGTTCTAACAAGTGGTTGGTCACAAGAATTTGAAGATTCGTGACAAAGAACTCAAGTTATTAGAGATTCGTCATATGCATGTATGCAAATTTTACCTATTTTGTGAAACCCTAGTTAAGTTGGTGTTGCGAGATTTTTTATATTCATCTAAAGTATCTCATATTCATTGTCCAAATCTTCAGGTCAACCTCGAGTTACGTATACCTTCCACCGGCGGATAACCCTATATATCCACCAAGGTTGTCATTTAGACAAATTATCTCTATTCGATTTTTTTATTTTCAAGTTGAGGTTTCGAATATGTGAAGTTATTTCATATTATTAGAGAATATGTTGTCCTTCATTGAGTATATAAGCTCAGCTTATATACACCGATTGCATTAGGATTTTTCAAGAGGTTTATTGTACTTTGCTAATTTTACATAAGGTGGAGTTTGATTTTTCGGGGTGATAGTAGAAAAATCGACATAAGTCATTCTTATACCTCTTTATACTCCCCTGAGTTGTCATGCTTGTTTTTTGAAAGTCAATTTGACTAATCTTTAAAGTTAAGTTAGATCAGATTAACATAATATTTTAAAATTATATTTTAAAAATTTAAAAACTTTGTACATGAAAAGTATTGTAAGTTACACTTATTTTCATATTAATATAAGATAGTAAAAGTGGATAGAGGGAGCATTTGAAAAGAAAGAAAAAACTTTTGTGAGTAAAGTGAATTGTCTAAAAACATAGACCAACTTTTTAAATTTGAAATTCTTTTAAAGTCAATTTTAAATTATAATTCAAAATATCTGGTCAAACAAATATTTTAAGAAAAGTTATTACAATCTGATCTTAAATTTATTATTATACTTATTTTAGCCTAAAAACAAATACTTAAGAATATTTTTTTGTTTTACTAATACATTATAAAAGTGCTTAGAGTTGTCTTGATTTAGTCTTCCTAGCCTACCATTCTTTCAAAATGCAAAAGGGGAAACGTCAAAAGCTTAACGATATCACCGTTGATGGAGAAAACGAAGCTCCAGACTTGATTAGCAAACTTCCAGATGAACTTTTACACTCAATCATCTCATTTCTTCCAACTAAAGAAGCTGTAGCAACTAGCGTATATTCCAAACGCTGGAGATTCCTTTGGAAATCACTGTCTCGATTGTATTTGGATCTATACCAAATCAACAATCACCGTGCTAGAAGTCTAGCCATTGCTGACAAGATTATTTCATCACTCTCTTTTAGTGTTGATTTTTTTCACCTGCACTCCGATTACATGCTCCGATGGATTGATTTTTTGAAAAATGAGAAAAAACTAAAAGGGATTGCACTTTCATGTGATAAAATTACTTGCAGTAATTTTATCAGGTGGTTTCGCGTATCGAAATTGGGAGAGCGTATTATTCATAAATTCATTATACCAAAAGGAAGCATATTCAAAGGGAGATTTCTTCAATTTGTAGAGTTAAATGAATATGTTCTAAAAAATGGTTTACCTTTTAAAGGTTGTGTCAATATTAAGACCCTAAAACTCGGAGGTTGCATATTGGGCGATAATACCCTAGTTGAAATCCTCAAAAATTGCAAGGAGTTGGAGAAATTGACCCTTCGTCATTGTTCCTTCATGTCGACCGATGTGAGCATTCATCACCAAAAACTCAAGTTATTAGAGATTATTCATATGCAAGAACAGAGTTTTTGCCTAATTTCAGAAAGCCTGAATAAGTTGGCGTTGGAAGATTGTGTGTTTTCAACCACAAAATCTCGTATTTTGTGTCCAAACCTTCGAGTTCTCCAAACAAATGTCGCTTGGCTGCCGAGTTTATGGGTAAGATTTTTTCTCTCCCCCTATTATATTTAGTACATTTTACATTTGCATTTTAAGTGTAATGCATGTTCTCTAGTATAATATTGGCCCGAGTAGAGGCATAAGTTTTCTTTCAATCATCGCTAGTGTTCTTGATGCCCTTCCTACTTACACTATGACAAACTTTGTAGGGAGTTCTAACGGAATCACAACAAGGAGCAGCGATAACATTTTCACTGACAGGTACATCATTTACTATATATACATACACAATATTTTATTCTTGTACATATAATGTGATATTCCAATGAAAAAGGTTTAGATCAATCCCCTTTCGCTTTTCTAGCTATGCAATCTAAGTGTGAGAGATGTAAAATCTCGTAGCAAAAGCTTGATGTGTTAAAGGTAATGGAGGACTATAAATATTTAATTGCAAATTTAATTAGAATAGTAATATTGATTTTTAAGTTATTATAAAAATTCATATACTTTAAATTTTTAGTCTGTATTTGACTTGACTGTAGGTGCTCTCACTGTCAAAAGGAGAATCAACATGGGATAGTCTACCAAATTATAGCATAAAGTTCAACTCATTTGATCACATTTTATAATAATTCCCCCCCCCCCCCCCCCCGGCGGCGCTTCCTGTTTTGAAGCAATATCTAATTGGGATGAAGTATAGTATAGTAATCTCAATGTTGTTTTTAAAAATACAATGTTTGTTTTGATGGTTAATTTACTTAAATTTTATTATCATATTTTTAAATATATTGTGTAACTACTGATTTAGTGTGATCGTATCATTACTTTACTTCCCCTTCATCTTGCCCTTTTACCTTGTCTCTTATAATAAATAATTTTATCGCATACCATACTCTTTTATTTGTAATATTGTAAGTTGTGAAACACATAGTTAATCCGAACATTATATTCATCAATAAAATACATTATGAAATAATAGGTGACAAATTACATCCAAACAAGTATAATAAAAATGGTAATTAGTATGCTATGAGAAATTCTTTTTCTAGAAGGAAACCAAAAACAAAAAAGGACTCAATGGGATTTCACTTTACTAAGTGATGCTTCACCATTTAAAGGTTGCGTCAATGTTAAAACCCTAAAGCTCACGACGTGCATTGTATGTGAAGGAGCCCGACGTGCATTGTATGCGAAGGAACCCTAGAGTGATGTTTTTAGGTGGATCCAAGATATCAATTTGATGAATTCAATTTGCAGGTTTATATTTATGAAATTATAAGTTTATAGTATTAATTATTATAATTTTAGTAAAATTTTGCATATATGTTTTTATGTTTCGTATAAAAAACGTTGGGTTTGATCACTTAAACCCGATAATTATATTTTGAAAGATATCTTTATTAACCATTAACTTGCATTGTCATGTTTCCTTCTTGATGAGTTCCCTTAAACTTAATGAAGCTTCTTCTATGGCAATTAAACTTTACAATTTAAAGAAGATTTTTCCATTCGTGAAAGTGTTTAAGTTACGTGTATTGTCAGTATATAGATTTTTTACATTATCGATTGGGTTAAGTTTAATAAATTATTACAATAAATGAATTTCATAGCAAGTCTGATATGTAACCTGGAAAATATATATAAAAGAAGTACTAATCTACTATTATCGAACTTAACGTAATAGAATTTTGACGTAGCACAAATGTGAAACGTTTCGATCGAATTATATATCAAAAGTCTCGAAATATCTAGAGATTTTTTTACCTAAATTTTGGGACTGTTTAGAGGTAATTTTGAGTTAATCGAAATTGAATAGTTGGTGTACACTTCATATATGATTAAATTATATTCAATTTTTTGAGTGTATCATAATATGTATAGTCAGTGTATAACTCATGTATAAGTAAGCTATATTATATAATCAATATATACTTCCTATGACTTTTGGCTATTTATTTTTTTATGTAAATACAATATGGTTATTTTGTTATAAATTAATTACTTTATTGTATCTAAATAAACTTTAAATTTTTCCATAAATTTGCAATGACTTATTTCTCCAGTTCAGAACTACCCTGGATTCATTGTTATATTGATATATGAATTTTTTTCTTCTCTTCTTCTACTTTTTCTTATTTATTTTTTGTATATATTAGTGCAGTAACTAATGCAGATTCAATGGAACAGTAATATTGATGAATAATAATCAATGGAACAGTAGAAAAAGGGAAATTCAGGGAATAGAAAATGAGGAAGACAACTAGTTGCTAAGCTAACTTACAACTAAGAGATATATGGCAAAACAAGATAATCCCCTTTCATTTTCATCAGTACAATATATATAGGACCACAACCCTAGCTGATTCATAGAGTATGCTTGCAACAGTGTCCTCACCTACTACTGCTTCTGACAGAGCTATGCCAGCTCATACAAAGATGACTAAAGTGCAATTAAACAAAATATAATACTACTATAACTTCAGGGATTAAAGTGCTAACTTAACAACTTCAGCCACTTTCATTCTGCATCATTCCTCCATCCTTACGAACTTCCTTGTCCTCAAGGAAGAACTCTGGGAACCTGATCTTCATAGCCATAAAATCTTCCCATGTAGCTTGCTCTTTGGACATCTCCTTCCACTGAATCAGAACCTGAACCACTGCCTTATTTCCTTTCTTAACCATTCTTCTTCCTTCAATGCTCTGGGGCTCCACACAAAAGGGACTTGCTATGTCAATGATTGGTGGATGATGGGTAGTGTCTGGTAGTTGATGGCATAACTTCAATTGAGACACATGTATAGTGGGATGGATGGCGACATGAGCTGGTAGAGATAGCTTGTATGCTACTATTCCAATCTTTTCTAAGATCTGATAGGGTCCATAAAACTTTGCTGACAGTTTATTGAATGCTTGTGGAGACACTGTCACTTGTCTATAGGGCTGAATCTTCAAATACACCCAATCCCCTACCTTCAATTGCCTATCACTTCTATGTTTGTTAGCCAAAGACTGCATCCTTTGTTGAGCTCTGTGTAGATGGAAATTGAGAAGTTGAGCCTTAAATTCTCTGGTGATCAGACTCTTATCCACTTCTTCTTCAATAGCTTCCCCTGGTAGATATGGCAAATGGATAGGTGGAGCTTGACCATATAGTGCTTCATAAGGGGTGGTTTGTATAGCTGACTGGTAGGTGGAATTATACCACCATTCTGCTAGTGGCAAGTATAAAGCCCAGTCATGCTGACTATCTGAGCAATAGCACCTTAAATAAGTCTCCAATGTCCTGTTAAGGACTTCAGTTTGACCATCTGTTTGTGGATGGTAAGCTGAAGATGTGCTCAATGTTACTCCTTGTAATGAAAACAGTTCTTGCCAAAACCTACTCAAAAATATGGGATCCCTATCACTCACAATATTTTCTGGCATGCCATGGAGTTTGAACACCTGGTCCATGAATGTTTGAGCCACAGAAACAGCCGTGTAAGGATGGCTAAGTGCCATAAAATGACCATACTTGGTCAGTCAGTCTACCACCACAAGGATGGTGGTTTTCCCCTTAGACTTTGGAAGGCCATCAATGAAGTCCATGCTTATGCAAGACCATGAGGTCTTGGGAATAGCCAAAGGTTGTAAGAGGCCCGGAGTTGCTGAGGCATCATACTTACTTCTTTGACAAACTGAGCACTTCCTAACATATTCATTTACATCTTCTCTGAGATTCTTCCAATAGAAAAGAGTAGCCAGCCTTCTGTAGGTATTCTCCATTCCTGAGTGCCCCCCATTAGTGTTATCATGCCACAGTTGCATGATGTCCTTCCTTAGCTGTGCATCTGCTCCAATAACCAGCTTACCATACTTCCTTAGTTGTTGGTTGGTGTAAGTGTATCCCTTTACTGTTTCACCTTGCTCCTCCAGCTTTTGAATAAGAGATCTAAGCTCTTGGTCTTTGTTCCAAAGTTCCATGATCCTATGAAGCAAAGTGTGATCTGCAGGTGCTACTGAAATCATTAGCAATTCAGTATTCACTTGTCTTGATAGAGAATCGGCAGCCTTATTTTCCCTTCCCTTCTTATACTCTATTTCAAAATCAAACTGCATCAATTTTGCTATCCATTTCATCTGAGTCCCAGTATGAAGTTTTTGCTCCAGTAAAAACTTCAGTGCTTTTTGATCTGTTCTGATTAAAAAATGTCTTCCCAGCAGATATTGTGACCACTTAGTCACGGCCATGACTAAAGCTAATAGCTCTTTGTCATACACAGATAAACCTTGATGCCTTGCAGAGAGCCCCTTGCTCAAATAAGCCAATGGATGTCCATCCTGCATCAATACTGCCCCTATACCGTAGTCACATGCATCTGTTTCGACTACAAACATCAATGTACTATTAGGCAAAGCTAGCACAGGAGCACTTACCAGGGTTAATTTCAACTTCTCAACAGCTGCAGTAGCCTTGTCACTCCAATGATACCCCTCCTTCTTCAAAAGATCAGTCAACGGCTTGCTAATGACCCCATAACCTTTGATTAACCTCCTATAGTAACCAGTTAATCCAAGAAAACCCCTCAACTCCTTTAGTGTTTTAGGCATTGGCCAATTTTTAACAGCTTCTATCTTTTTTGGATCAGTAGCTACACCCTCAGCAGAGATGAAATGACCTAAGTACTCCACCCTTGTTGCCCCAAAGGAGCATTTAGCCTTCCTCACAAACAACTTATGTTGTACCAGCAAGTTGAAAGTGATTCTCAAATGCTGCAAATGTTCTTCCAAGCTCCTGCTGTATACCAAAATGTCATCAAAAAATACCAAAATAAACTTCCTTAGGTAATCTTTGAACACATGGTTCATTAACCCTTGAAAACTAGAAGGTGCATTAGATGAGACCAAAGGGCATCACTAAATACTCATAGTGTCCAGCATGTGTCCTGAAAGCAGTCTTCTGTACATCTTCCCTTGCCATCCTAATCTGATGATAACCAGACCTAAGATCCAATTTAGAGTAGATCCGTGAACCACCAAGTTCATCTAACAACTCTTCGATAATGGGGATGGGAAATTTATCTTTGATAGTCATTTTGTTGAGTGCCCTATAATCTACACACAACCTCCAAGACCCATCCTTCTTCCCTACCAATACCACGGGTGAAGCATAAGGACTAGAGCTTGGCCGCACAATGCCTTGATCCAACATTTCTTGCACCATCTGATCAAGGACATCTTTCTGTCCTGATGAGTACCTGTAACACCTAGCATTGACTGGATTGCTACCTTGCTGCAAGGGAATCTTGTGGTCAAACACTCCTCTATGAGGTGGCAAGCCCTTGGGATCCTGAAAGAGTATCTGAAACTCCTTAGTTAATTCCAAGATATGATTAGCACTAGCATCGGCCTATGGTTCCTCTCGTTGTTCCTGATCAGTTGGCAATACCCTGATCATGAAAAGTTGACAGCCATTTTGGGCTAGCTTGTCCAACTTCTTGGCCTCCACAATTCTAGTTTTCTCTCTAGTACCTTGTATTACCACTTCCTTGCCTTGATACCAGAACCCCAGCGTTAACTTTTGGAAGTTGAGTTTGATGTCTCCTAGAGGAAGCAACCACTGAACCCCCAAAATCATATCGCAAGAACCTAGTGACAGCAACAAAAAGTCATCCTGGAATGTGAGCCCTTGCATCATCCAAATGAAGTTTCTACAAACCTCATTAGTCTGTCTATTGCCACCATCAGCTACATTCACAGACTGTGGTTTGATCAATTGTGTATCTCCCTGCAACTTCTTAATCAACCTATCATCAATAAAATTATGTGAGCTTCCAGGGTCAACCAATATGTTTAGAGGACCATCCTTAGTATAGCCCATGATTCTAAGTGTATTGAACCCATGGATTCCATTAAGAGCATGTACAGATATTTCACAATTCTGTTCATGTCCCTCTTCCTCTTCATAGTTATCATGATCCTCCTGCACTTCTAACATTTGGTCTTCCTCCCCATCTTCAGCCACCTCTAACAAATATAGTTGTTTGTTAGAGCTGCACCTATGACCAGGCACAAACTTCTCATCACAGAAGAAACACAGACCTTTCTGCCTTTTCTCACTCATCTCAGTAGGTGTGAGCCTTCTTGAAGTCTTCCTGTTCAGACTCACAGATGAGTCCTTAAATGGTTGGCCTTCTCGTTTGCTTCCTGCTCCCTTGGAAAATGAATTATAGTTCCCTGCCCTTGACTGAGAACCCCCTGCAACATATAGAGATGATCTAGTCAACTTCAACTGGGCATTTACCTGAGCCTCAGTGTTTCTTGCTAACTGGTAAGCTTGTGGTAAAGAATAGGGCCTATGATTCTTAACAGTAAATCCAATCTCAGGTTTCAAACCAGTGATAAAAGCACTAATAGCATACTCAGGGAGAATAACCAATCTGGTCATAATCCTATCAAACTCCTTTTGATACTCATCAACCATTCCAACCTGCTTGACTAGTTTAAGTTCAGACATAGGATCAGTATACTCAGCCCCAAATCTGTCCATTAGCGCATAAACATACTCCTCCCAAGCAGGGTAAGGTAAGTGAGATCTACTTTTCAGATAAGCCAGATGCCATTCTATAGCTATATCATCAAAATGAATGGATGCTACCTTAACCTTCTGATTATAAGCTACTTCATCCATCGAAAAGTATTGTTCCACCTTACACAACCATGCTCTAAGATTAGTTCCATTAAACCTAGGAAATTCCATTTTGGTGAACCTGGTCATTGATTGGTTTCCTGAGCAGTTTCCAGGTGATGCTCCAAATGATATCCCTCCATGAGGTCCTGCAACATGTGGTCCTTGATTCATCCCTTGTGAAACATGTCCTTGAGGTGTGGTTGTTTCCATATTAGCTTGAAAAGGAGGCACAGACCCCCACCCCAAAGGATTCATTCCTGGTGATTGTTGCATTCGATAGTTCTGATTCATCCAAGCTACAGGGTTCCCAGATGGAGTATAGATGTCTCCACCACCCTCTGTTACTTCTGCTCTTTTTCCTTTATCTGTCATCCTTGCTGCCTCTACAGATTCCTTCAAGACTGCAAAGGATTTTTCATGATGATCCTCCATTTGAGTTTGCCTCATGGAGACATTAGCCATCTCAAGAGTTATCCTCTCTAACATTGATTTGATCTCAGTCATATCAGTAGCCATGATAACACCCACAAAGCTCAAGACTATGCTCTGATACCAAATAATGCAGATTCAATGGAACAGTAATATTGATGAATAATAATCAATGGAACAGTAGAAAAAGGGAAATTCAGGGAATAGAAAATGAGGAAGACAACTAGTTGCTAAGCTAACTTACAACTAAGAGATATATGGCAAAACAAGATAATCCCCTTTCATTTTCATCAGTACAATATATATAGGACCACAACCCTAGCTGATTCATAGAGTATGCTTGCAACAGTGTCCTCACCTACTACTGCTTCTGACAGAGCTATGCCAGCTCATACAAAGATGACTAAAGTGCAATTAAACAAAATATAATACTACTATAACTTCAGGGATTAAAGTGCTAACTTAACAACTTCAGCCACTTTCATTCTGCATCAGTAACTTGAACCTATAATGTTGGGTTGATTGAGTTTGATAAATGTTGATCCAGGAAATCATATTAATTAGTTGAAAAACAAAGTTGAAGATAAAATTCAGTTTGTATACAATATTATACATCATTATACAAAAATATAATAAACGTATAATGTTGTATACCTAGTGTGTTAACATCGTCATACAATATTGCTTTTTCTTCTCTTTTTCGTTTTTTTCCTCATTTTTTGGGTGTATATTATTATACATTTCGTATACATGCCTATACAAAGTTATATATCACTACACATTTACTACACATATGGAATTAAAAAATAATTTTGTGTTTTCTTACTTTTTCTTGAACAATATCTATGTATAAATAAACTTTTCTTATTGATTTATTTGCTAAATAAGGAAGTTTAGTTTGTGTGATGCATATTTGTGATGTTTAGCCTGTGTGGAGGCTTGTGTGAAATGATTAATTATTGCTGAAAACTTGTGATATGTGAGTAATTGCCCAAAACGAGGGGCTATGTGACTTATCCTTATGTTTGATATTGAGATGCACGGGTTAGGAGCTTGAGTTAATGTTTGATCATATTAAAATGAAAAAGATCCTTGACGAATTGATTATGTCTTTGTGTTGTGATGCATTCATCCTCATTCAACATATCATTGTGCATGGGAATATGAGAAAGTGGAGAAACACCATCTTTTTGAGAAAAAAAAATGTGACATCTTACTTATATCCTTGATCACGCTGAGGTGGCAAGTTGATGAGACATTGAGATTGGTATATGAACTGCGAGTCTCCCATGGGTGCTCGTCTAAAAGCTAGAGGCTCGGCAAGGTGTATATGACAGGTTGTGTGACGACCTTGGTACCACCACATCATCCCATCATTTCATCAATTCTTTGCATCGCATTGGTCAACTTGTTGTGTTGTATAACTTGCTTATATGTTGATTTGAGTATTATCTGTACCCTCGTGTGTTTACTTTATTCTCTGTTATTACATAAATTGGCGTCACCGATGTCGGAATGGGACTTTTCTGCATGCAGGTATAGGCGTTTCATAGTTTATTTCCTAGTCTGATTAGTTGCTTATGCTTAGTCTGTCTAACTTAATGAGTACATGTGGGTTGTACTCACCCCCTACTTCTATTATCACTTTGATGTAGATCCTAGTCAGGGTGATCCTTGTAGAGGTTGATTGGATCCAACTGATTTATCTTTTTCGGAGTTGTGGTGAGACCCTGCTTTCCGGATCGCCATTAGTCTCCATCCATCATTAGAAGTCTATAACTTTCATTTCGAAGACTTGAGCTAGATTTCAGATTCTAGAATTGTATTAGATGCATGCACTTCACACTTATGCTACCAGGTTTTGAAATTCTTTATTGTTTTCTATCATTTGTGGCCTGACTTCCCTTTGGGTGTCTCGTATGTATTAGTTCTTTCACCTTACACACCATTTTGGAGTTCTTGGGGTGTGTGTCATCATGACCTCAACTTTTGGATGGTGACAATATGAGTCAATTAGTACTACAATTTCTTATTTGCTAAATCTAAGGTATTCTCCTCAAACGAAATTGTATTTAATTTTTGCCCCCTTGTATTTCATGTAATTATTTTGTATACACATTCTTCATCTATTGAAAATTTGCAAATTGTAGTATTCTTATTCAACATAAGTTTAAAGGTTTTTTAATCTTTGAAATTAAAATTTTTATCTTGCTCGGCATAAGTTGTGTGGCATTGTTAAATTTTATGGTTAATAATAGGGCATAATGGGACTTTTTTTTTCTGGTGGATCGAGTTTTTGAAGCAAATCATCATTTTTTTTTCCCAATAATACCCCTCTCTACGTAATATATATTTTGTTTTTTTTTTCTTAAACATTTCTTTTTCCCCAAAACCAAACCCTAAAACACAAATACAATTTAACTCAAATCCGAAAAATTCTTTCGATTCCTTCAAGGGAACAATCCAATTTGCGATCGGCGACTTCATAAGTTGAAGCATTTCTTCAATTTTCAGAAAAACGTACGTAATTTGATCCATATTTACGATTTTCTTGTAAACAGAATTATTTTATCATTTCGTTTTAATTTTTGTTTTGATTATTGAGATTTATGTGGATGTTTCGATCATTTGTTGAAATCAATTAATTGGGTTTTAATTATTTTTTTCAGATTTTTTTTTGCTTTTCTCACAAGTTTGTTTATGTATTTTGCTCAGTGCCTATGCAAGTTTTCAATCTTTTTTTAGATTTTTTTTTCTGATCAAAAGAATCATTTTGTTATGATTTTATGAATTTTATTTAGGTACTTCAGCATTTATGTTATTGGTGGTTTTTGTTAAGGTTGCAATATTTTTTAAAAGATTCCTTTTTGTTTTGGTGTGTGTGTATGTATGTGTGAGATCATATACTCAGACCTTGTTAATTTTGTGCTAGCAATCAGTATCGACGATTGAGTACTTTATAGATAATCATACTTTTGTGTATATATCATTTTGTGGGGGTTTTTCTATTGAATCAATTAAGTTTTAATTCGATTAATTGTTTGGGTATTGATGTAAAGATTTTGTCTTTTCATGTATATCTTGAGATTACTGATGATAATATCCTTTTCGTTCTTGATAGAATGTATCTCTACCAAGTTTTGGGAAGTTTTGATGTTGTTATGGTTTTGTAGTACAAAGTCTTGTGTTGTGTTATAATGTGCTTTTGAAATTACCAGGTTATCGGGTTTGAGCTGAGTTACAAATCATGAGGTTTAAAAGGGGAAGCAAAGTTGAGGTAATGAACATGAAGCAGTCACCTGCATTACAGCGTCGTGCAGAGATTCTCTCTGATAATGAGCATATGTACACTGTAAGGTATGATTACTATCCTGGAATGGAAAGTAAGGGGAGGACTGAGAGGGTGTCAAGAAAGAATATCAGATCTTGTACACCATGTGTGGAGGGTTTGGAAAATCAGGAAACTGGTCAGGTTGTGGAGGTATTTGACGAATCATCTTGGAAGATGGCTACAATTGTGAAGGTTCTGGATAGTGACTACTATTTGGTACGCCAAACTGGATGCCTGAAGGAGCTTTGTGTGCACAGATCAAACACGAGAGTGGTACAATGTTGGCAAGATGAGGAACGGGACTTGATAAGGAAGGTGAGTTTGTAGTCTCCCTCCCTCTCCATTTCCCAAGACCTTATGTTATTCTCTCCTTTTACTTTTCATTTGCATTCTTAGATTTTTGTTTGCAGATGTAGAATGATAGAAGAAGTTTAGCATTCCTCCTTTTTTTCCAATCTTCTTGGGTGTGTTGTGTCTAATAGAATTTCGCATTTATATTTGGTCTTTTCTCTCTTTATTTTGAGGATTTTTCCTTTTTATTTTTTATTTTGTGTTCCACTTATCTTCTTTTCATTTTTTCTTGATTCGTATTGTTGTTTGGTTCTTCATTGTCATCTTTCGGTATTGGTCTGAGTTGTTTAGTTTGTGTTTGTTGACTATATGTTTGTTTCTTCTTATAGGGATCTGAACTGTGTAGAAGATCTGACCAACTATCAGCTTTAAAACCTTCTAAAAAGGTGAGCAAGGTCCTGTCTTTTAGTGCAAGGAGTAGATTTCATGCTGGGGATGATCATTTAGCTTCTCAGGAGTGTACTGAGTTGCGGAAGTCTCATATTAGCTCTTCGTTATTGCTGAATAGGGTATCCCAAGTTGCCTTCTCTAAAAATGAAACATCTAGAAACATTCAGGATTTAGCGGCAACTGAGAGAGCTTTTAAGAGACGGAGGGTGGTCCCAGCTTCCTTAAAGGGACAGGTCAATGTTAATGCCAAGTGCAAAGAGAATATAATGGCTGAGAAGTATGTGCATGATTCATTGAACGATGTATCTGATGGATATTGTGCATTGGAGCAAACCAAAAGAAGTGGTTCTGTTGGCTATTTCCTTACCAGAAGTACAGAATCTAGTGATGCCTGTTCCGTTGGTAGTTGTAGTATCAACGAAAAATTTTCCAACTTATCCCCAGAAGAAGTCTATTGTCAAGGAACTGAGCTTCTTTGCAGTGATGCAGAGTCTTTTTATGATTCTGCAGATAAGGAGGAAAGACACTCTCTTTCTTCACCAGTGAAAATAGCAGCAAGTATTCATAGTTTGGAGTTACATGCTTATCACTGCACTTTAGAGGCATTATATGCGTCCGGTCCTTTAAGTTGGGACCAAGAAGCATTGTTAACTAATCTTCGCATCTCGCTCCATATTTCAAATGATGAACATTTAGCAGAGCTGAAGACTTTAATTTCTGCTGGAACTGGTACTCATGTCAGTTGATTTTTATTTCTGCCTCTCACCTTTCTTTTCATTGGTTGGATCTCATCCACATTTCGCCTTGGATGACATTGTAACAAGCATGAGAATAGGTGTTTTGTTGATATTTTTGACTATGTTGTTTACCTCCATTGCTGTAGACAGTTGAGCAATTGTAACTATGTTATCATGCCTTATATTCTTGGAAAGAAATAAACTTCTATCTTTTTCAAATGCATTTCTTTATGAACCTTGTAAAAGAGAGTGAACAATCATGTTGTATTATTCATGAAGAACCTCTGATATTTTACGATGATAATCATTAAAGCTGCTAGGAACATTTTTCACTATGTGACCGTCAACACTAGTCCTTGTATGGAGATGACAACTGTAAGTGATAACACAAAAAAAGACCCGCTGTTCAAGGTGCTGACGGCGGACTTAAACTATCTAAGCTTAGTCTTTATCTAGTCTCAGATATTTTCCTCAAGTAGATTTCTTTTGTTTTTTACTATGTAAAAATTGAAGCATGCAGTGAGGACGATTAAATTTTAGATTGTGAGTATATCATGATGAAGTTATAAACATCAGTATGATGTAAACTAAGTTTCCTACTTCGGCAGATACTATCTCAAATATAGATCTTGGTGCTTAATTTTTCATAATGTCGTCATATTGTGGATTTTAATTATCAATTTCTTTGGTTTTCTTGTTGGGTTCATATTCATTTCCCAAAGCGTATTATTCATAAGCATGTGAATTTTCCAGGGCAACAGTTGGATGTATACATCCTTTGCCTCCAAAAGTCAAAAGATGATGCTTGCATTTGCAGCACCTCTCCTGGCATTATATGGAGGACTCCTACAACAACTGTCCACAGATAAGACAATTCATGGCTTTTGTTGTTATTACTATAAAGCTTCATGATTTGTTTTGTCTGGATAACTTCAACATTGGCATGTTTTATCCTGAAAAGTAAAGTAATCAAATGCAACTATTTGTGTATAAGGTCTTATAATATCCTGTATCTATGTTTATGGATCCTCTGATTGCATATTGTACATACAGAAAGAATTGTTTCCTTTTTATCAACGGAGTTTTTTCTTGAGCTGAGGGTCTCAGAAACAACCTCTCTACCTCTGAGGTAGGGGGTAAGGCTTCCGTACACTCTACCCTCCCAACACTCCACTTTGTGGGATTACACTGGGTATGTTGTAGTCTTTTTATCAACTGAGCAGGAAGACATTTACATTTAGTTGGAGAATCTCGAGGTATTCGAGATGAATATAAATCAAAGGCACACTAAAATGAAAATGTGTAATCAAATTATTGGGTTCTCTCTCTTAGCAATTATACCAGAGTTTTTGGTTGCTAATTCTATGGTAAAGATTAATCTATGAAAGTGTATGCCTCTTGTGACAGCTCTAAACTGTTATTCTTGTCTCTAAGTATCATTTCTTAATGATTCATTGTGCTCTTAATCAACATCTTTGTAACTAAACATTGACAAATGTAATATAGCAACTGCAAAGTTAATTGACACTTTGTCATTCTGAGATATATCAACATTAACCTTGATTCCTTCCAAATCTTGTATTTCCCTCAATGAGGACATTGCTTCCTTAATTTCTGCTGTCTTGAGTGCTAGCTTTTTGATTAACTACAAACCGAGATTTCAAATTATCAAAATAAGTGTGTTTGTTGTTTGATCTTTTATTTTTTTATGGGATGGTGCTTCCATGCAAGAGGTTTGGATTTTTACCGAGAACTAATGTGATCTTTACGCTCTATTACTCATCCTTTGTTGGAACTTCATTACTCTTTGTGAGAATAACATGTGTAGCTCTGGGAGGTTGAAAGTCATGCTTGTGGTCTTCAGAAGAACTAAGGAACACATGGTTCATCAGTTCTTGAAGATGCTGTTGCAGGTTTGCTGCTTTTGTAATCCTCTGCAAGAATTTGTTTGATCACTTTATGTTTTTAGTTCATTGGTGCTTTTTGCAATTACCATCAGCTCTTTCCGTAGCAGGTGTAGAGTTCCAAATTACTTTCATTTCAAAACTCGAGCTTGGAGGTAAAAGAGAGGATATGTATGTACATCTGTAAAATAGATACAACAAAAGACTGCTGTTTTTGAAGAGCAACACATCTAATGATTAAGTACTAACATGATCTCTCTTCTTCTTTTTTTTTCGTGGAAGGAGTCAAGGTGATCCTCTTACTAAAATGAGTGACACATCTAATAGTTACTAAATTGATCGTTTTTTTTCTTTTTGAGAAGAAAGGGATATTATGTTAGTACTACCTCTGTCTCTAATTACTTGTCCACCTTTGAATTAACACACCTATTAAGAAAACAATTGTTGACATAGTGAATTTTCCATTTTACCCCTATTAATTATGAAGTGGATGAATTAAAAATTTAAGATTTTCAAGAAGTTCTACCTTTTTCAAAATTAATTAATTGAGGATATAATAGGTAAAAAAAAAATTGTCCTTTCTTGATTTGTAAAAAGGGACAAGTAAAAAGGGAAAATTGGACAAGTAATTAGAGACAGAGGGAGTACTTAATTATTTAGATATCTGGTTCTTCAAAATGGCAGTCCTTTTGATAGACGCAAAATCTAGAGAAGGACCGCACCTCAATGGAGTAGGCAATCTACCCCACGGAGACAGCTTTACTGTCACTCCAAGACTCAGTAGTGGAGGAAAAAACATTGGAAAATAAAGATAATGCATGTATGGAGATCTGCACACAGGTATGTCAGTTTATTAATTGGCCTTTTGATCAGTGCATTCATACAGGTGTGTGTGTGTGTGATTGTTTGTTAAGGTGAAGCTCTTTAAAGTTTCAAGACTATGAGTCCCAACGCTAAATTTATTACTAATAGGTTAGCTCATTAAAGTTTAGATATTCACAAATTATCTACAAATTGCAATTTTTCTCATATCAATATGGTGAAATGTTAGTTAAAGTTCATGTAATTCGACTCTCAAGAAACAAAATGTTACAAGCATTTGTGACGAAACCAGGAGCAGTGACCTTTTCTTCGCTATTTTCTGCTTTATTTTTGTTTTTTGTAAGAGAAAGTGAAATATCTGGCTTCTGAAAATGGAGGAAAAGAGAAACAAAATGAGTTTATTCATATCACCATCAAATGACATATGAAGTACTGCTAAAAACAATACTTCCAAATAGAGGTACAGGGGAGGTCATTCATACACACAATTTTTTTTTAATTTCTTTTTTGCACTAGTTGAGTTCGTTTTAGATCCGTCTTTGTTACTGCTGATACACTTTGTTATCTCTTAAATGCATCATGTTAGGCATTTTTGAACTGATTCTTCTCACAAAGCTGTTTTATCACCTCAGCAACTTCATCCATCTGTTCTTCTCTTAGCAATCTTATATTCTCACCAAGACTATTCATCCTCCTCCTCAAATCATCCCCAATTTTTTCGCCAAGTATCACTTCTTTGATAGTCTCAGCTATATAACCTCTATGAAGCTTCCCATTTCCATCTCTCGCAATCTCCACGGCTATTCCATTCTCCACAACCGATCTAGCATTCATAGGCTGATCTGAGCAAAGTTCATAGGCAGAGCTATGATTGGAACACCAAACTCTATGCTTTCAAGTGTGGAATTCCAACCACAGTGTGTTACAAATGCTCCAATACTTGCATGCTTCAGTATTCTTGCCTGTGGAGCCCATCCTTCAACTATCCTCCCCCTTTCTCCAATGCGGTCAAGAAAACCTTGAGGAAGTGCCTCTTCAAGGTTAACAACTTGTTCTCCTCTTGGAAACCTTACAACCCATATGAAATGAACATTGCTAAGCTCTAACCCATAAGCACCTCTTCCATTTCTTCCTTTGTCAAGACACACTCACTCCCAAATGAAACATACACAGTTGAATGCTCCTCTTTCTTCCCTATCCATTTAATGAGTTCTGTTTCCTTGATATCCCCTGCATCTTCAAAATCTTGAATTACTACTCCAGTAGGCAGAATGTTTGATTGTCCTATTTCAGAAAGATAATCTATATACTTAGCATCTATTGCTCTGGAGCTATTCAGCAGCATGATTCTCTCACCTTCTTCCACCACTTCAAGCTCAATATGACGCTCTATCTCTTTCTCATAATCCTTTAGATAGAGCGCTGTGAAAGGGAATTCCACCCCTGGTTTGAGCTGTAAATGGCCAAAATAACAACACGTAGCTGCACTCGCATTACAATATCTTATTGCTGGGATGTTGAGACTAGACGCAACCCTTACTGCCCATGGTTGCATTATATCAAATACTAACACATCAGGTTTTTGATCTTTCAGGATTTGGTAAAATTGTGGTTTTTCCATCATGAGGGCTTTGTAGAGGGTAGATTGAAGATGCAATGGGAGGCCATTTGTTGTGTGGTAATGAGGAGGAAGTTCAGGCAAATCTTGTAAATGGAATTCCAATAGCTGAATTGAACAAGAGTACTTGTGTGGCATTTTCTTCTTGATGTAACTAAAGATTAATGGGAGTTGAACAAAAATCAATGAAAAAGCCTCTATCTGAGAGTGTCTTGGCTAGCTCAAGGAAAGGTGTGAAGTGTCCATAAGCTAAGTATGGAAACATTAGAACTCAGATTTGTTGTTTCATGTTCTACAGCCATGACTTCTCTCTGTTTTGTTTCTCTTAGGTGTGTGTGAAAGTCATTATGTAATGAAAGCTCTTTATAGAATTATTAGATACAGAAGCACGTGTTAGCACGAGTCCAATATATGTTACTCACTCGGTCTTAATTCATGTACCACTTGTTAAATTTTAGTGTGGTACCATGCCTTGATCCTTTTTTTATCAATCCCAATAAATGACGTATTTCTATATTTAGTAGTCTAATAGTACTTCAATTATTTGATTTATTTTCTTTTTTAGTTCCGTTTAAAAAAGAATGACTCGTTTTCTTTATAGCATTTGTTTTAATTTTATGGTTAGAATAACTCCTTGTGAAAAAAAAATTATGTAAAAGTTTTCGATAATCAATATTAGTTATAAATAAGTTAAGATCGTTAAAAATGTACACCACAACAACATAAATAAATTTTTTAGAGACAATCTACTTGTCTGAGGTCAAATGTTCACTACTTTTCGTTATTGTTACTTTGTTACTCTAACAAAATTTATAGAAGGAGAAAAAATTAATTTGAAACAACAACAAAATAATATTGTCGACCCTTTTAGAAATTCATTTTTTATTGAACTGTTACTTTGAAGGCACTTTTTGATGCTTCATCAGTGCAACCTTACGACTTTTTCGGAAATATGTATGTATAATTGTTTCATTATGAAATTATAAGTAGATCAAATTATTGGATTCTAGACTCATGTTAAAGAAATATTCTCGAACATAAAAAATTAAAAATGAGTCTAACCTATATAACTCAAATGCTCAGCAATAACTTGAGACATAAAGGACAACAAATCTATGTTAATAGACATATATTTTGTAGTTTAAGATATTACTTTTATTTAGAGCAGGTTTTATTTCATATTCTTCAAATTAAGCTTGTCGAAAATAGTCATAACTCATATAAAAAATATTTAGAAGAGTGAATGAGAAGGGAAAAAAGAAAAACATTAAAAAGACGAAAGTTTTGTCCAAGTGAGATCTTGTCACTAAAACAAACTATTAGTGGCAACTATTATCGTTATTAGCAGCGACTAATTTTGCCACTAAAACATTCTTTTAGTGGCGACTATTATAGACATTGGCAGCGACTAATGTTGCCATTAAAATATTCTTTTAGTAGCGACTATTATAGGTATTAGTGGTTATTAATCTTGTCACTAAAAACAAACTATTAGTGGCGACTATTATGGGTATTAGCGGCTGTTAATCTTGTCACTAAAACAAACTATTAGTGGCGACTATTATAGGTATTAGCAGCTGTTAATCTTGTCACTAAAACAAACTATTAGTGGCGACTATTATAGGTATTAGCAGAGACTAATTTTGCCACTAAACCATTTTTTTAGTGGCGATTATAATATGTATTAGTAGCGACTAATATTGCCACTAAATCATACTTTTAGTGGCGACTATTATCGGCATTAGCAACGACTATTGTTGCTACTAAATCATACTTTTAGTGGCAACTATTATAGGCATTAGCAGCAACTAATATTGCCACTAAATCATACTTTTAATGGCGACTATTATCGGCATTAGCAGCGACTATTGTTGCTACTAAATCATACTTTTAGTGGCAACTATTATAAGCATTAGCAGCAACTAATATTGCCACTAAATCATACTTTTAGTGGCGACTATTATCGGCATTAGCAGCGACTATTGTTGCTACTAAATCATACTTTTAGTGGCAACTATTATAGGCATTAGCAGCAACTAATATTGCCACTAAATCATACTTTTAGTGGCGACTATTATCGGCATCAGCAGCGACTATTGTTGCTACTAAATCATACTTAGTGGCAACTATTATAAGCATTAGCAGCAACTAATATTGCCACTAAATCATACTTTTAGTGGCGACTATTATCGACATTAGCAGCGACTATTGTTGCTACTAAATCATACTTTTAGTGGCAACTATTATAGGCATTAGCAGCAACTAATATTGCCACTAAATCATACTTTTAGTGGCGACTATTATCGGCATCAGCAGCGACTACTGTTGCTACTAAAACAAACTTTTGGTGGCGACTTATATAGGCATTAGCAGTGACTACTGTTGCTACTAAATCAAATTTTTAGTGGCGACTATTATAAGCTTTAGCAGCGACTAATGTTGCCACTAAAACATACTTTTAGTGGCGATTATTATAACTATTAGAGCGATAAATATTGCCACCAAAACAAACTTTTAGTGGCGACTATTATAAGTATTAGCAGCGATGAATGTTGCCACTAAAGCATACTTTTAGTGGCGACTTTTATAAGTATTAGCAGCGACTAATATTGTCACTAAAACATACTTTTAGTGGCAACTATTATAAGCATTAGCAGCGACAAAAGTTGCAACTAAAAAATTCATTTAGTGGCGATTATTATAGGTATTAGCGGCAAATAAGCTTGTTACTACAACAAACTATTAGCAACGACTTATGTTGCCACTAAAACATTCTCTTTTATATATGTATAGTAAAATTACCCGCGCCTCGCGCAAAAATTTAATGTTACGAAATTTATAAAATAAAACTTATAACCTATTAGTCATTTAAAGTAAAACACTACAAAGTAAGTGATAATTATAACATCTTATCATTTATCCTTCAATCAATCATCTTTAATTTGATTTTATAATTTATCGTTTTGCTTCCAGGAATCACATGTATCAACCGGTAATATTAAATATTCTAATAAATAAATAATCGTTGGTGTAGAGATAAATAAATTGTAAAAGGTTGAAAAAAGTGAACAAATATTCTAATTATAACGTGTAGAAAGTTAAGCACTACCTTTTGTTTTACATATATCACTTTAAAGTTCCCATTTAAATGTATCAGAAGTAATTATTAAAATGAAAATTAAAGGGAAAATGTATCATATTGGACAACAATTCAACTTATTATATATACTTGAAAGGGAAAAATATTACACAAAACTATTCAGTTTGTTTGGGTGTTTTTTAAAAATCAACATACTGGAGTGATGAAGTTCAATTTGAAACTACACTTCTATTCCAATCACAATATCGAAAACACATCTACTACTTCAAAAAAAGTATTTACAACTTGCAGAAAATTTGAGAAATCTGTCCATACCTCATATTGAATATGAGCAATTAATTTATTGTGTAGTTATCTATTTCTTTAGGATTAATAGATGTTGCAGTCTAGTCATATTCCTCTATAGGTCATCCAGCACATCCTTGAACTTATGTCAAAAATTTATTAATTTTTGTCTTCTTTTCCTGGTTCACTTCGCACATAAAGGTGCGATAAAGTTTTTAAACTCTTTATGTGTTTACAATGACATACCAAATTTGAATTTTGTCTTCAAGATATGGTAGTACAGATCTTTAAGGAATTCTTTTACTCTACTTTCAACAATTTTAGTAGAGAAAACTAGCATGAATACTCAATTAACGTGTGTTATTTAATATGTACTAACAAATATTTATAACAATAACTTTGAAGAAACATAAACAACAAAGTTTAAAAGATATACTCAAAAACAACAATTAATAAAATAAGCATAAATTAATGATTGTAAAAAAAAATACCAGAATTTGTAACAATAGAATGAAACAAAAAGGAAAAAATCGAGCCCACTAAATGCATAGTGTACCCTTAAGAAAAATATTCTCCTCTAGTGCCAGAGGTTTAAAGGATAGATCCTCTCAGGATAGGACGATTCTATTCACCAGTGTATTGATACAAAAAACAATTGTGAAGTGAGTCACTCAACAGGAACAAAGTACACGAATATTTAATTGTGCTGAAGAAGAAGAAGAAGAAGTAGTTCAGAATTTTTGTTGTTTTAAAATGAGAAGAAATTCCTCTATTTATAAACAACAAAGAGTAGTGTGAACAAATATTTATTGTGTCTTATCAGAAAGGTCACAACTCTTTCGGAAAGGTCACAACCTTTCATAAAAATCACAACTTTTCATAAAAGTCGCAACTCTTCAAAACAATCACAACTCTTCAAAAAAGTTGCAACTTTTCATAAAAGTCATAACTTTTCATAAAAGTCACAACTTTTAATGAAAGGAGAATGCTAGTTTTAAAAATAAATAAATTAAAAAGGAAGCCTGAATTATGGTGACGCCACGTAGGTGGGCTTAATGTTCTCTTTTACAACATGCAAAACCCCCATAAAGATTGTTTCTTTGCTCTGCTATTGGAAGAGATGTTAGTAGCAGAAGAAAAAATATGGTGTTTTTCATTAATATGGAGATGGGGATTGGGATATGTGATTTGGTTGTTATATCTCTTGCTTCTTTCTGGTTCAGTTGTAGGGCTGTGCAAAGAAAGGGGAAAAATCTTGGGTAGTAGTGATAGACTCAGTATAATGATTCACCTAAGAGCTAAAACTTTTTTGTTTGTTTATGAAGTAATGAGCTTAAATGAAGAAGTGGGGGCTGACTCCAACTTGTTTGAGATTGTTGTATGAAGTAATAAATTGAATTTAATCTCTATTATTGTGTAATAGAAAACATCAATTGTGGAAACTATAAGGCTCTTGATGAGATGAAGTATTACTTTCCACTGATAAAGGAGAAAGACCCCAATTGAGAGGGAGAGGGAGTGGTGAGGAAGGGGATATCAATGTCTCTCATTGAGTTGTTGAAATGATCCGAACCGTAGTGATATGCTGTTGGATGGTTTATGGACTTTTTTCCATCGAGTGGTTATATCTTTTGATCCAGAAGCCTTAGTTGAGTGACATTTAGCTCGACTTTGTTCTGCAGGAAGGCATTTTTCACAAATGACACTATATGAATCCCCTGACTCTTGACCTATTTTGTTTTAGAGAAGTCCCTTTAATCGTCCGGCATGTTCAAACATGCCCTGCCAGGAAAACTTAGGAGATCCTTCGATCGCACAAAATAAGTTTAATAATATGCTTTGTTTCTTCATTATGCTTCTCGAGGGAAGAATATATTCTTTTTGGGATATTGGGAGGAAGGAGGGGCAGTTTCAGTTATGATAATGCTAGTCAATTCTTGATGCTCCCTCCATTTCAATTTGTTTGTCTTACTTTTCTTTTTAGTCCATTCCAAAAAGAATGTCGCTTTCCTTTTTTTTTTTGGCCAACTTTCCACGTAGCATGTTTAAGACCACAAGATTAAAGGACATTTTGGTACCTTCAACATATCTTTAATCTAAGACCCCGAGATTGAAGGTCGTTGTTAGACTGATATACTCAAGGACATAACCAGCAAATAATGTTGGAATTCCAGATTAATTTATTCATGTCATAGTTATTTTTTAATATGGATTATAATTAGTCCTATTCTGGTTTGTCAAGATTTTACATACTGGTTTTGGTGGTGTTATTCTAAAATAATAATGGGAATGCTACTGAAATGTTACGGTCATCTGTCCATGTTGGGTCTAGTCATGGATAAAATATATGTTGTTTACATGTGAGCTTCTAAAGCTCGGATAAAGGAGAAGGATTGTTATTAGGAAAACAAAAGATCCATATAGCCAGGGGCGAATTTAAGGGTAAAAAATGGGTCACCGTGGTCATCCGACAAAACTTTTGTATAATTTTTAAAATATAGTAAATATTAAATAAAGAAACCCATGATCACAAATGATTGGATGGCTCACTGGTTCAAGGGTTTGTTTTTGAAATCCTGAATTTGCCTCTGCATATAGCTCATTTCAAATAGTCCAAGATAGAGGTTGGTTGATCATATATTTCTTAACTTGTACTGTTAATTTTGCTTCTGTTTGTGGTCCTGATGCATTTCACTGCTTCTTAATTCATTTCAATTATCTTTCATTAACTACTCAAGATTCATGTGACCTTCTGCTAATCTATACACCCCTTGGAAAATACTATCTCGTCTTCTGTAGGTAGCAGTTCGCAAGCTTTTGAAGGAACTTATGAACAACACTTGGTTTCTCTGCTTCAGATAACATAGGTTCTATCCTGGAGGAACTTGAACAAGCTATATTTGAGCCTTTTCCCTTTTACATATAAGTGATCTGAAAAAGGTCATTTTCTTCTATTCAAATTGTAAAAAGGCAAGAAATTTCATTTCCTCGAAAACAAAAGTACCACAAACTAGGTACTCATATGTAAGTTTTCTTACAAAAGATCAAAAGAATGGCTATGAATAAGCCCTATTGAAATATTATAAGTTTAAAACGATTCAGTTGACGTGATCTACGAATCTATTCTAATCATCTCGAGGTATAACTTTCTACTTCTCGAGGTATAATGACAGACCAAGAGGCTCAACTAGAAAGAATAGCTACAAGTGCATTGATTTGAAGCCCTCAGTTAAGGCAACCACTTTGGCTGATATCTGGGGTTGCAACTTCAATATACCTTGACGGATTTCCTGTAAATCGATGATGAAAAATGCTATTAGGAGATTCCGGGAGGAAATTTGCACACGTTCGATGTTTACACCAAATCAATAATAGCAAGATATGTGCATGCACTTTCATCACTTGACGTGTGTGTTTTCACCTCAAAATATTATCTAACCATAGAATTAGTAAATGTGGTTTGGTGTGGGACGGGGTTCTTCTTTCTATCAAAATAAATCGAATTTGAAAGCATATAAGCATAGGCGCAGGTGAGAAAACAGGGAAGATGTTGAATAAAACTGAAAACACTAATGTTGAGACTGAGTAGACTACCTCAATACTGTAGCGTGGTGAAAAATGGGTTAAAACGAGTGTTTTGTTCCGTATCCATTTTGCTTGCTCCATTATCTGCAACACCAAAAGTTGGAAGAGTTGTATCCAACATCATGATAAATATTATGGAAGCGTTTCAATGATTCAGGTATACCTCGTATAGATGGGTGTGACCGTGCTCTCGTGCATGCTCAACACTGCAGTTGTCATCCAAGAAAGTTGCCTGTCAAAGAAGAAATAACGTCCTCGAGATGAGATTAAAGCTCGATCCTAACTGCTGCATCAGAATGCTTCCATAAGGTACAACAACATACCCAGTGTAATCCCATAAGTGGGGTCTGGGGAGGGTAAAGTGTACGCAGACTTACCCCTACCTTGGAAGGTAGAGAGGTTGTTTCCGATAAGACTCTCGGCTCAAGGAAAAAATCAAAGCAAGTCGAAAAAAAGAATTGACAGGAGTGAAGAAGTCATGTCAAATGCTTCCATGAAGTGAGTTAGGATATTGTTCTAATTGCTTCCTTTATTGACCATTCCATTTTTCACTAAGCCAATAAACATTACAAGGATAAACCAGTTTGCCAATAAACTTTTTTGACAAAGAGTTTGCCAATAAACTATGGCATTAGAAACAAAAAAGGACTCCAAAAAAGTTGATTATGTATGCCGAAAGGAACAGGTCTACCTTTTTATGTAACCTTATCAAACAAATATTTCTACTCTTCGTGTCAACACAACAAATATATAGGTAACTTGACTCTCTCTCTCTTTTCTTATGACCGAGATATCCGTCTAAAGCTAATCCTTTAGGACAACTGTAGCCTTCAAAACTTGGGGAGCGCCCACCTCTGTACCCCTCTCCAGTTAAATACCAGAGTTAGTTCGCTTGGCGCAGCGCTCAAACCTGTGACCTAAGACAGAGTCCCTCAACCTTAGCCAATTCAGCTAATCCCTGGACACAGTAATCAGGTAAGTTGACTTTTCAGTATGTAGCTAAACACACAATCTCTAAAGGAACTCAAGTTCATAACCCAGTATGGACTTTCATCCTTCTGATATCATTTTTATTTTTGCTGCTGCTGCAACCTCAAGGGTTGTGTATTTGAAATCTTACAGCATTCTTGAGAGAAACGAACATGTTCGGTGGGTCAGTTAACTACTTAAGATGCTAGGGATATATATTATAGACATGCAGTCAAACGGAGTGAAAAACTATACAGATGTCACAGCATCATTTGCGTTAATTAATCATGTATTTCCACTCTATATGTCATTTAAGGACAAAAGTAGCAAATTGAACCCCAAAGCACAGAAACAAGAGGAAACTAAAATGAAATACTGTAACAGCAGCTAATTGATTTTCCATATCTATGGAAAACTAATAAAAACATCAAGGTAAACTACATAACTGTTGTTCAGACCACACACATGAGAAGCCACTTTGGTGTCCTTTCCTATTTCTTGTTACCTTATAGGCCTATAACGATTAAAACTCAACCAATAAAGTCTAGAAGGAATCAACATTAGCTATTTAACTTACAGTTTGGGTCTATCCTCAATGAACACAATATAGATCGGCCTAAATAAGATAATATTTAACCCTATACCTATACTTTTAGTCAGTCAAGGAGTTAGAAGGACCTTAATTACAAGATAACTCATCTGAACTAAAACAATCAGTACCAATTAAGCATTAGTTTGAGAGTAGAATATGTCAATTAATAAAATGCCGAAACCCACAGAGGACACTGCTTGAGCATGGTTATACCGATTAACTTAAATGCTTATCCATCCAGCTATACCTCAGTTATAAGAATTTTTGCCCGCAAGGCATCAGCACTGCGAGGATCAAGATAAAAATCTGATGCTGTATCTCCCGTGAAGGCTACTTCTGGACACAACACACTATCTGTAATCTAACAAATGAACATTTTCATTAGACAAGAAATAATTTCAGTCACCACTCTATCACACAAGTTATGTAACAACTTATGAACCTGAACACCCGATTTCTTCAGTTTCTCAATTTTTTTCCCCTCTAGATGAATGTATTGCTTCTTCAGTTTCTTTCTAACTGAGTATATCACATAGCCCTGGAAACCCCAAGAATGAAATAATAAGTCAATAACTTGAAATGAAAGGTTTCAAAGTACCCAAATTCGGTAAAGTAGAACTGATGCAAACAAACCTGGCTAGGAATAACATGGTGAGTTCTAACTGGCCTTACCACCAGGTCATTCCGCATCTCATATGTTTCCCCTGAGTTCAAAATTGCAAATACATTTTACATATGGAGATAAGAAAACTAAATGGAGAAGCAAAGCATGTAAAGAAAACAGAATATTTACCTACATCTAAAGCAATCAGATCCAAGTTCAGTTCCACCTGACTCATAGATCTATGAACATCAAGCAACTTCTCTACATCCTCTTTTATGGAAGGAGGCACAAAAACAGTCGGGGGCTTCAAGCCATACAAGCCACGAGTAGCAATATACATAGGAAGTCCACCCTGAATCAGAAGATAAAGCAAAAGTCAACACTGGCTACAAAGTTCAAATCAAGCCATAAGAAGATTTGTGTTTTTTGCACCAAGAATTGTGCATAGGCCCATGGATTATTACGTAACTAAAACAAATTTCTTCTTTCTGAGAACATTGAGAGAACATTGATTACTCAAAGCTTAGAATAAAAAGAAGAAAAACATACAATGTGGTCAAGATGCGCGTGAGTGATAAACAAGAAGTTTTGATGAACAGCCCTTGAAGGACATCTCCCAATATCAAAAGCAGCCTTTAGTTGTGGCACAATAACACAGGTCTCATGCCCACCAATCGAGTGTCCTTCAATTGAATAACCTTCAACATTTAACCCTTTGCGGATTACCTCAGCCCTGGCTTTTCTATACTCTTCTTCCTCTATAGCTCTCCCAATGGCAGACAAGAAGCCGGTAGAGGAGCTTTTGACAGCACATGGAGCAGGAAGACTGATGTGTGTTTGCGTTGAGATACCGTGGCATGGTTTTTGAACATTATATTGAGTTTGGTTTGAGGTGGAAGGGTAATATGTGGAGAATGAAGGTACTTTTGGTATTGTAGTGGCTAGTGAGATTTGCATTTTTGAATTGAAGAACACATACAGATGTACTCTGAGCAGGAGAGAAGGGGTCAAAATGGTTTTTGTGCTTCAATATTTGGATTACAACCCTACATTTAAACTTCATTCAGTTAAATTACAGTTTCTAAATCCAAAAACACCTAAATCTAACAACAAAAAACACAAAACATGACTACGAGTCTACGACACATGATATTAAGATATACATATTCAAGTTCAACTATGACCAAATCCCATACTAGTTGGGGCACGCTATATGAATTCGTTGTGTTAATTCTGCTCTATTCATGTTCATTACAACACAAGATACTCTGTCCTTTTATGCAAATTAATACTAATTCTCTAAAACTATGATTTTGATAAAATATCAAAAATACAAAGAAGTTGCACAGCAAGTTATGTTAGCACAAATTTCTATTTATTAACGCAGAAATTTGCTAATGTGCTATTTGTACTTGACTCAACCCCTTCAAATTCACATGTGGTAATTACTCCTACAAGAAACTATCACTTTTCCTGCATCACTTTAATCCAATTTACTAGCATTATACCTTCAATTGTTTCTTCTTATAACAAATATAACTCCTTTCCCAAACTACTCGTCACTTTTCGTATCTCGAGTGTCAATTTGACTAATCTACAGAGCTAAATTGGATAAGATTAACTCAACATTCAAAAACTAAACTTTAGCTATTTCAATAATATACGAAAAGTACTATAAGTTGCAATACTATACGAACATTCTTTAAATTGTAAAAAGTTGTGATTTTTATCATCTGTTTCATACATAAACCAAAACCTATTTCAAAAATATTAGTAGGAAACTTTCACACAGAAATTACAAACCATTAAAGCAAATGCAAATGATATAATAATTTTGGGGCTTATACCTGAAATGAAGAATTAAAAGAACCAAAAAATCAGTCTTTATACGAAGAGAAACTCAGTTAAAACCAGAGCGCCGGCGGCCGTCAAGTTTTTTCCGGTTTAATTTACTATCGGTGCCGGAAAGAGCATGTAATTTTCCGGTGATATTTTGTAAAAGTGGTAAATAGATAGAGAGAGAGGAGGAGGGATAAGGTTTTTAAAATGGGTGTTTTTTTTTAATATATAAAGCGCTAAGTTTACTAATAATATAAATATTTATCTCCTTATTATTTAATTTTAATTAAAAATATTGACCCAAACTCTCTTTAATATTCTCATAAAATAAATAACTTTAATATTACTTCAAGACTCACAATTAAAAAAAAGGAAGAATGAAAATTATATATATTTTTATCAAAAAATTGGAAACAGTGAAAGGAAAAAACGAATAAGGTAAGTATTAATATTCGTCAATTAACTGAGCTATTAAAATTCGCATTGCGGTGAATTATACAAGTTTTCTTCATTTCCAAAGCTACCCTTTACAAAAACTCATGCCAACACACTAAAGTAAAGCTAGAATTCAACTACTCCCTTTTAGGGTCTCAAAAAAACTGAAATCAGTTTCAATTTCAAGGTGGATAAAGTTCAAATCTTTTAACTAAGTATTCTTGTTTTCAACTTTTTCCTGAAAAAATCTTTGAATTTGTGTGTTTGGGTGCTGTTTTGTTCACTTCATTTATTTGCAGGAGCTGAATTTTGAGCTTAATTTTACAAGATGGGAAAAAAAGATCAAGATTAGAGGTACTGAATCTTTATGTATGGACTGTTAGATTTAGGCATATTTCCTATCTGGGGTTTAGTTTTGTTTGCTTTACAACATCTTTTTAGAGCAAATATCCAGTAAAAATTGTTTCTTTATTCAAGGTGAAGAAATTTCAAATTTTTATTCAATTATTTGTCTTACTGAGTTAACTAGCATTCTTGTTTTCAATTTTTTCCTGTAAAAATCTTGATGGGTTCTTTGATTCTTTCTGTTTGGGCATTCAAATAATTTTTTGGGTGCTGTTTTATTCAGGATTTAAATTTTGAGCTGAATTTTACAAGATGACAAGTAATGGGAAACAAGATCAAGATCAGAGGTACTGAGTCATATGTGCTTTGTAGACATTTCTATATGAGTAAATGTTCATCTGTGTACTTATGAAGTGTTAGATTTTGGCATATATTCTATCTGGGGTTTGGTTTTGATTGCTTTACAACAGCTCTTTACAGCAAAAAAAAAAAAAACAGTAGAGATTGTGTTTTTACTCTGTGAGTGCAACAAAAGTAAGCGGTAGAAATAAAAATGTTTTCTTTCATTAAGATGGAGATGGGGATTGGGATATGAGATGTGGTTGTTATATTTCTTGTTTTTTTCTGGTTCAGTTCTAGGGCAGTGCAAAGGAAGGGGAAAAATCTTGGGTAGTAGTGATAGACTTAGTACAATGATTCACTTAAGAGCTAAATCGTTTTTGTTTGCTTACGAAGTACTGAGCTTAAATGAAGAAGTGCGGATTCATACGTTTTTGGGACTGAAGCATAGTTGTTATTGTTGTATGAAGTAATAAATGGAATTCAATCTCTGTTGTTTTATAAAGAATATCACTTGCGGAAAGTATAAGGTTCTGTATGAGATGAAGTACTGAAATGCTTACTCTCCATTGATAAAGCTGAAAGATGAGAGAGGGAATCCCCAATTGGGAGGGAGAGGGAGTGGTGAGAAGGGGAATTCAATGTCTCTAGGTATATAATCTCATTGAGTACTTGAAAAGATCCGAACTCTAGTGGTGTTCTCATATGCTGTCGAATAGTTTATTCTCTTCTATCTGTTGAGTTAGTTGTTATTTAATAATGGATCCTAATATGTTATATTTTTCCATGATCAGGAAAATTGTTGGCATGGAAGATTCTAGCATGACAATTGAATTTCTCCGAGCACGATTATTGGCTGAAAGGTCTGTCTCACAAACAGCAAGGCAGAGAGCTGATGAACTAGCTGAGAGGGTTAGTCTTTAGTTTAACAGTGCCTAAACACCAAAATGTTGAATCTTTCTTCCTTCCTCTGCACATCACAAGCGTAGTTTATTTTACCGACATCTAATTGATCATTCCCCGTTCCAAGAGTTTCCACCATTGCAGTGGGAAAGATGAATGTTTGTAATTAATGTATTTTAGGTCTTGGAACTGGAAGATCAGCTAAAGATTGTGTCACTACAAAGAAAGAAGGCTGAGAAGGCCACAGCAGCTGTTCTATCCATCTTAGAGAACGAAGGAATATCTGATGCTTCGGAGGAATTTGATTCAGGCTCTGATCAGGAAGCAATATTCTCTAATTCTAAAGGTGCTGACTCCACTGACAACAGAAATGAGCGTAAGCCAAATCCATCAAATGTGAAAGAAAGAGAAAATGATGCAGACATCTCAAGCTCCGAGATTATATCTTCTCCATCAACTGGCAGAAGTTTGTCGTGGAAAAGTGGTAAACATTCTTTGCCATCTTTTGAGAGGAACAGATATACTGATTCTGCCTGGAGGAGGTCTGGTAGTTTCGCGTCAACTGGGTCTTCTTCGCCAAAACGGGCTGGAAAATCATGCCGACGGATAAGGCGCAATACCACCAAGTAAGTTCTTTAATAAGCTCACTGATTGGAGTATAACATATCATGATGCTTATATCTTTTAATTTGGAAGTCTTGATTGAGTGACAGGGTCACATTTAGCTCGACTTTATTCCGCAGGAACTTCAGGAAGGCTTTTTTCAGAAATGTCAATATCTGAATCCCCTAGGCCCTAACCCTTGATATCTTGGCCTATTATTATTATTTCTGCTCATACCTACTCCATTGCATTGTACTGTCTGCTTCCCGAGGGAAGAATATATTCTTTTTGGGATATTGCTTCGGAGGTAGGGGGTGAGAGGGGAAGTTTCAGTTACGATGATGCTTGGTCAATTCCTGATACATATTTTCACTAGCTACATGCCTATCTCCTTGTGCATTTAGATCACTAAAGTCACTTTAAGCATCTTTCTCTTTATCATCTTCCATTTTTAACCTCATTTCTTTTATGGACCAGAATGGCCACTGATGAATGCCCCCCCGAGCATCTTCCTTCTTTTGCTAATAATGGGCATCAATCCTTAATGGACAGTGCTGGCAATAATGATGTGAAAGATCAACGTCACTTACCTACTTCAGAAATGTCAGAAAATCAAAGGAAAGCAGATGAGAGTGATGAAGGCATGGAAAGAGCTTTGCAGCATAAGGCACAGCTTATAGGGCAATATGAAGCTGAGGAAAAAGCCCAAAGAGAATGGGAAGAAAAGTATAGAGAGAATAACAACTATGCACAGGTATATATGAATTTTTTATCAAGCACATGCATATTATTCATCTGTTGGCTACTTGATCTGTGCAAAGACACTGATGTTGAAGATCGTCGTTAGACTAATATACTCAAGAACATAACCGGCAAATAATGACTCTTGATTAATTTATTCATGTGATAGTTACTTTTTAGTATCATCTTATTTCTCCATAACTGGATTATATTCTGGTCCTATTCTGGTTTGTAGAGTAAGTTTGTCAAGATTTTATATACTGGTTTCGGTGTGTTATTCTAAAATAATTATGGCGATGCTACTGAAATGTTACTGTCATCTGTCCATGTTGGGTGTAGACGTGTAGTCATGGACAGAGATATGCAAATTACTTGTTTATTCATGTGAGCTTCTGAAGCTCTGATAAAGGACTTGGATTGTGATTGGTTGGCCAGCTTGAAAATGGTCAAACCATGATGAACCTCTATATGGAAAACAAAAAATCCTTATAGCTCATCTTGACTAATCTGAGATTGATGTGTAGTTGGTCGGTTGATCATATATTTGTTAACTTGTACTGTTAATTTTGCTTCTATTTGTGGTCTTGATGCATTTCGCTGCTTTTGCTTTAGTCCAGTACACACCTTCATAATTCATTTCAGCTGACTTTCATAAACTACTCAGGATTCATGTGACCCCGGAAATTACTCGGATGTGACTGAAGAAAGAGATGACATGAAGGCATTTGAGCAACCATATTCTGCTGAAATGATTAATTTGCAAAATCATGCAAACAAATTCCAGGAAGCTGATATTCACTCCACAAATGGAGTTACAGACAATGTTCCATCCACTCCGCATATCGGTACAAGCTGCAGGAAGGATCAGAACTGCAGCAGAATTATTAATTCTGAGTCCCCGGCATCAGAATTTGCACTTTCAAAGTCTAATGGGAGTTGTCCAGAAAATGATGCCCCGACACCTGCTTATAGTCGCCATCAGATACCGTCTGCTAATGGTTCCCCTATACACCCCTTGGAGAATAGTATCTCGTCTTCTGGAGGTAGCAGCTTGCAAGCAGGACATGCCTTGGTTTCTGGGGATGCTTCAGATAACATAGGTTCTATCCTGGGAGTACTTGAACAAGCTAAATTTTCGATTAGCCAACAGATCAACGTCTCGCCAATAGCAGAAGGCGATCCGTCCATAGAACATTCCATTCCTACTGCTAGAATTGAGGACAGATTAGACATTCCTCCTGGATTCCCCGGCCTTTTTAGACTACCAACAGATTTTCAACTTGAAGCAACTACAACAGCCAGCTACCAAGGTTTTCCGTCAAGGTTCAGTTCAGCGAATCATTTTCATGAAACTGGCTATGATCAATTCTCAACTACCCCTTACATGGAATCTCCATCAAACGCTATTACAGGTCTACCATATACCACTGGATTTGACTACGTTAATCTTCCCTCGAGTTTTGGTCATCCATTTTCTAGTAAATCAACCTACCCCACATATCCTTTTTGTCCGAATACAACAACTACTGTGTCTCAATCCCAAGCAAGTTGGAGTCCGCTATATGAATCATCACTAACCACATTAAGCCCTGTTGTAGTGCCAAACTTGTCCTCAGGTGAAGAAGTATTCTTAAGATCCCATCCGAGGAATGAGACAGGTAAACCCCCATCATTTCCTGTCTCACATTATGATGCTCATCTGAGACCAAACATGTATAGATAGCTAATATTGCTCAAAGCACTACATTTCATTAAGAGATAGGCTCTAGTTTCTTCATCCAATATGGTTTCTTGGACCAGTGTGAGTGGTGTAGCTATGTATCTAAGATATTTGAGTCTCTTGTTGTATTAGATGTGTATTCTGGAATCAATAAACTTAGTCAGCAAATTACCTTTAAATTGAACTCATTGGATTTCAACCTACTATTTGTTGCAATTTTAATGATCTTTTACACAAAAATTTATCTTTAGTGTCGAAAGCATTGGGTTTAGATGAACCTGAAACCAAAAGGGTTCTTCTCATTAAATATGTACATATGCTGAACAATTCCCTTCAAGGAGATGAAATAGAAAGAATGTTTCATCCTAAAACACCATGTATAGAATAAATGTTTTTTTTTTTCTCCAAAAAGATAAAAACTAAAACACCTCCAAGAATAAGAGGTTTATCGCCACATCATTGCTTGTTTAATTCGTAAATTCTCCCTTACTCCTTAGCATGAACTTTCCATGTTGGTCACTACTACTCGAGGTTGGATCGTCATTTTAGAATTTGCAGTCGGATACATTTCCATTACGTTACCAAACTAAATACATCATTTGCTTCATGAAATGACAAGTCAAAATATCAAAGTAAGTATCTTTGATAAGATTTGCTTAATATATAGTATATAATATCCCTGCAAGTCTGTTTACTCTTGACCAAGAAAACTAAACCACTACATAAAACAATTGTCATATGAAACATCCCAATTGAATTCTTAAAAATCCCAACTTCTCAAAACCTTTACTAGTCTTTAATCCAAAATCCCCTTTTTCCTTCATTTTCGTCACGAAAACATAGCCGCCATTATAAGAACCAAGAAAAGTAGCTAAAAGTACTCACTTCACGCCCTTGAATTGGGAAATCCAATAGAAAGATTCAATTCTGACTTCATAGAGCCAGTGTTGTTGTTGCATGCGCGTAGGGGGGTCTTAGATTGAATATGGTTCTAGAGTTCTTCAAAGACCTCTACTTGAGAATTGGAGATTTATACAATAATATAATGTTTCATAACAAAGATCAAGAAGATGAAACTCATCAAATTATTGATTTTGAAAGGAATTCTAGTGATGAATCATTGAAATACAAGAATAGAGGAATTGATGAATCTCAATTAAAGCTTGAGAGGTTTAAGGTGAAAACTCCACAGATTCTTTTTTGGTGTATGTATCTTGTTATTTAGATAAATATATGCTTCCTGTGTAATTATGTATTCCTCGTTGCAATTTGTTTGTCGTACTTCTTCTTTTTTCGGTCAGTTTAAAAAAGAACCTATCTTCCTTTTTTGACAACTCCTTAATTCTAACTTGTCACCTGACATGCTTAAGACCACAAGATTAAAAGACATTTTGATAAGTTCTACATATCAAGACCACAAGATTCAAAAGTCCTTTTTACTTTCCTAACCTCTATCAAATCAAAATCAGACAAACAAATTGAAAGAGAGAGTACTAATTACATATATGTGATTACAAAATCCAGCTTTCAAAACATTTGGGGGTCGTTTGGTAGAGTGTATAAGAATAATGCAAAATATGGTGTATTAGTAATGCTTGCATTAGTTATGCCTGCATTATTTCTTATACACTGTTTGGTTTGATGTATTAGAAATAACAAATCTTGCATAATTTCTATTAATAAATATATGTTTACAAAAATACCTTTCACACTTTATTTCTTTGTACACTTCCTTTGCAACAAGGTTCTTTGCTAAAACATCAAAAAAATACCCTTCCTCTTCCGTGTCAACTCCATTTCTTTGCAGAAGAGTAGCTAGTTAAAAGTTCATGTTGTTTTTGCATAATGATATGACAAATTGCATTTCAACTATGCATACAAAAATATGACAATGAATAAAATATGATAGACACCAAGACAAAAAATCTCTCAAAAGTTGAGATGAAATAAACTATTGTCCGTAAAGAATGGTCTTTTCAAACTATGTAAATGCTGATTAATAAAATTAACAATTCAATGAAACAATGTACTGTAGCTTTATTCTTAGCTCACGTATGTTAAAGGAAAATTAGTTTGCTGCACAATCTATTGTTCTGGTTGTTCAAAAAAATTATATTCAGTTTACCTTATATCCATAGACAAAGTACAAAGAAGATAAAAGGTTTCTAAAACAAGTACTATGGAAAATGTTTGTTTAAAAGACTTTGAGGATAGTTTTGTAATTATATAATCTAATGCAAGTGTTAAAATGCTATGTATTACTAATACCTAAAATTTCTTGGTATTAGTAATACACAACTTAATACACAATATAGTGTATAACTAATGCTTGCATTAGTTATACATGACATAAAAAAGTGTACCAAACAAGGTACATGCATTATTTTTCCTAATACACTCTACCAAACGACCCCTTGATGCATAAATGTCTGAGTTATCGTCCCCGAGGGTGCGGCCAAGTAGTCAAGGAAGTGAGTTGAGAATTATAAAGTCTGTGGTCCAAATCTCAACGGAGACAAAAACAGTAGGTGATTTCTTCTCATCTGTTCAATCGTTTAGACGATATTATGTGTAACACATATGTATAGCTCAATATCAAAACACTACCATTGTATGGATGATATTGGGAGAACACTCTCCACATTCTAACATTATGCATCAGTTGCCAAAATCAACTATAATTAGATTGAAAAAAAAGAAGAAGAACATAGTAAACATAGGATTCTGCTATGCTATATTCAGCAAACATTTTTTTCTTACTGCAACTACAAGTATGCTATTCACTCTCTTCATCGCTATCCGCCAAGGAAACATGATTCATATTCTTTTCTAGAGGAGGAAGTCCATCGTCGGAATCATTAGAAGAATTTTCACCTTCACTATGAGATCCAGAGTCTTCTGCTTTTAGAGTTTGTGGAATAGGTGAGGTTTGTGCAGAGAGCCACTCATTCTGAGTTGAAATGATTTCAGCACTCGTTTGACATTGTGAGTATGCCTTCAGAAGTTCCTTATTGAGGGACAAGAACGCGTGACCCCATTTGAACTTGCTGAGCAATAGATTTCCAGTTTCCTCCTCGCCACATATAATTAAACCAGCTGCTAAGGCCTCAACACAAGATAGCTGACACGGACGACCATAGTTTACTGGATTTGCTGCTACTAACCATGGTAAAAGACGAGGTGCAGGACAGCGCAGTTTGGTGAAAGGTACATCATCTAAACGTGCCCATGAACAATCGACTACAGACATTCCCTTTCGATCAATTAAACTACTATCTTCTCTTGAGATGCACTGTGTTCCAGTAGGACTTAAACAAATGCCACCGAATCCACTACCAACACGCAGCTCTCTCAACAAACCAAATCTTGCAAGCTTCCGTCCAGTGCACCTTTTAGCATCGCACTGACCAAAATCCCACATAGCCAACTGAATTTTTGGACCGGTTGGTTCGTCTTCTTCTACAAATTCCCCGGGTAAAGACTCTTCAACCTTGAAAGAGTCATCAGGTTGACGGGTGCGGCTGGATTGTCCTCGATGAGAGTGGTGATAGGTTTTAGATCGCCTTTGTTTGTTACCACCCATTTATAAGAACTAGCGAACAATTTGATCGTACTTCTTGAACTACTACTAAGATGGTGTTCGTCACTCAAACTTCAAAAAACTGATCATCTGCATATATTGTCAATGGTTCACTGAGGTCAATAGCTTATAGAATAAAAGGCTCATCTATCAAAGTAATGCAAGAAAAATGAACTACAAGTTGCAACAATAACGATACAGCAACAAGTCGAAATGCCTTAGTTTCAGACATCAGCCAAATAAGTGAAGTTTTCTTTGAGAAAAAAAATAACTTTTAAGAATCCCAATCACCAAGTGACATAAAAAGTAGATGGAACAATATTGGTGATTGATAGAAAAAATGCAACATAAACAAAAGTACAGGTACAACAACCCACAAATTTGCATTTACATGTTGAAAGCAGCCTACTAAAGATCAGTTATAGTAGATAGCATTCAAAAAATTCTATAAAAAAGAGGGAAGGACAAGTTTTTTTTTTCTTTACACCAAAAAATGCATTTGAAATTTTAGTTTTCTCATTCGAAATACTCATAAGGTAGTACTTCAATAACAGTTCTAAGTCCTATGCGACACTCATGCTCTTCCTGTTCATATTCACAATATTAAAAGAAAAATGGAAAAAGAAGTCATCCGATCAAGTGTTAAACAGGTAGAACAAAATTTCATAGCTGCAAAGTTCAAAAATGATATTATCTCACTTGAGAATATTGTCTGTCAGTAGAGCAACTGAATTTGAACCTGACATTTGCCGATATGATCATAGAGACCACCATTGAGTCTGACAAACTTGCTTTAGTTCCACGAGATTTCAAATGGTGGTTAAGACATTGATAAAAGTTTGTTACCATAGTCCTATAATGTTGTCATTTTCAGGGTGTTATGCCTAACTTTCCAACCGATAGGTTGGAAAAACATTCAAAATGGAAATTTAGCATCGAAAACCCATTGGAACATAACTCAACCTTAGGTAATAACTCCTAGATAATTGACTTCAATAAACTCTAACAAATGAATCACTAATCCATAGCTCATGACCAGGAATATATATGTTTAGCTAGTATAAGATAACGCTCAAATAAACCACAAGTAATGATCTGTAATCCTAGCATTCCTGTAATTCGATTATAAAACATGTTTGGATTCTGAGATTATTTGATTATAAAGTTAACTTCACTCCTCTTTTCTACTGTTGGTCTTTATACTATATATGACATCTTCTGGACATGTCAAAATCTGGTTTTTGAACTTGTAATACATTTTTTCAAAAACTATCATTGTTATCCAAGATTCAGGGCCAAGGTGGAAGTGGCCTCCGTGGCGGACAACTAGGCTGAGATGGTTCAGGCATGTCAAGAGGAGATGGTCAGACGCATTAGATTGTTTGAGATAGTAAGATGCATTACAAGGAGCCAGGAACTATACAGATCATAAATTAGATTGTTTGAAATTTTACATGAGAAGCATTATCAGGTCGATCTAAAAAGTTTTCTAGCTTCTCTTTGACTGTTCCTTACTCTAAACTATTGCAAAATTAGAACTTGGAGCAAAATTGAGCCAAACTAAAGTTCGAGCAAGAACAAATCTGTTTTACTCCAGAACCATGGGCTAATCCAACAGAGTTTCGAATTAAATTGCATATATAAGGATAAAAATACTTTCTTTTTTATGTATAGAGAATGTGTCCCCTTGTATTCATCGTGTGTTTAGAAATCCTAACTCTGACAAGAGCAGATAGAGAGTATGACTAATGGGTCGACACAGAGCACCTATATTGCTCAGATTCTTCAAAAATGTCATCAAGTGTGTGTCGGACCCTTCAAAAGTAAGTGCATTTTTGAAGGATTCAACACGGATGCCACAACATTTTTGGAGACTCCGAGCAACTTAGCAGAGCACAAATATATGTGATTGATATTCTTTAAAAAAAAACAAATTTGAACCATAATTTTAATTTTTTTTATTACTGTGGTGTCCGTACACCTAGGCGAATTCCACAGGATACCTGACACCTGCCCTTCTAACCGGCAACAGAAGTCTGAAGAGGATAAAGTATACGCATACCTTACCCCTACCTCAAAAGCCGAAAAGATGTGACCCTCGACTCAATTAACAAAAAAGTACCTCAAAATTTGATTTGAACATACAATAAGAACACAAGCAATCCAAAACAAGAAGCAAAAAAATAGATTAAAGAGAACACAAACACAAACACATAACAACATACATGAATCAGATCAAGAACATAACAGCAATAATCAAGAAAAATTGAAAAATCTCAGAAGAACTTACGAAAAGCACAGCTGATGAAGAACAAATGTTTTTTTGGTTCTTCAGCGACCCAACAAGGGTTTTAGAAGGGGCTAAAGTGCACATAATAGCCTATTTAGGACCATCATTTAACTTATAGCCATATTATATAAAATTTTATTAAGTTTAACTGTTTCAGAATAAACTTTAGATATACAATTTGACATATTTAATAAGTTATAAATTCTATATTTAATTTTTTTATTGCATAAATATAAGTTATCAATCATATTACACCATAATCAAATGTCAAATCACCAAATTGAAATAATGTTTTTTTCTTGAATTTTTAATCATTACCATAATATTGTAGCATATATTGATCATTCTTCTCCATTCTATTTTTATTCCCAACATATAACCTTTTACCTGTCCTTTTGATATAATATTTTAATAATTAACACCAATACATGAAAAAAAATTGCTCTTTTTGAATATATCAAATTTGGATAATATGATTTGTTGTATTGTAATAAATTATATTGTCTTATTATAGTCAATTGAGAAAATTTTATTTGAAAACACATATCATGCATCTATTAATTTGATATAAATATCGAGTTCAGATAATTTTAAATCAATGATACGTGATGTTTTTTATATATGGTGATTATGTGAGCAACTTTGATCATTTCTTCTCTAATTGAGTTCCTTTCTTTTTCCTTATCAAATATTTTGTGATGATGAATAGTGAAGTAAGAAAACTTGCTCACTTTCTTAAAACTTGGAGAATGAGGCTTTTTGGCGAAGTCAAGCTAATTTCGGGCCATCAAATTCTGCAATTAGTGATTCCATAATATATTTTCTTATTAATAAACTAAACCTTAGATTTTTTTTATTTTATTTTACAATAATGATCGTTCACCTAATCTTGTTGACATTTTGACAATGGAAAGTTCAAATCTTTTATAGATTCTCTAATTTTATACATTAGATTTAATGTAATATAATAAGAGACTCACTTAGATGTGGCTTTAATGTCTTAGATAGAAACTTAATTAATTGATAATTTTTTTGAAACTGACTTAACTAATTGATAATTTATGAAAAAGACAAGTATGTATGCACGAAGTAGAATCTTTAAAATAAAATTAGGTGGATGATTAGGCAATATAAATAATTAATTTAATTATTTCATATAAACATCGAATGTCAACAAATAATTGTCTGGAAAAGACAAGTCTATAATTGGAATAAAACAACAATAAGTTGCTAAAAATTGTGGTTTTAAGGGCTTAATGAAGATACAATTGGCACTATTTCAACCAAACATATCATAGTGGAATACTTTCAATCATGAAGATACATTCTATAATATAATGTAATATATTGCTAAGTAACTTTTATAGCAATTATTTGATTAGTATATAACATGAAAAACATGAATGTGGATTTTCACTATTATCATCAATGTATGTAAATTAAACTTTTAGTTAATTTTGTTTGGTTCGTGGATAAAAAAAATTACAATTTTGAAATAAATTGTGTCTTGTTATTATTTTTTTATTTCAGAATTAGCACTTTTGAGATTATTCATATAATAATATCATAGTTATGATGTTATTTTTTTCACACACTCTATATAAGATAATAATTTCAAAATTACTAATCTCAAAGTAGGAGTGATCTCAGTGGAAGGACAAGATATGAAAAGCGAAACTAAAATTGTTTGAGCATGTGAAGAAGAAATGCACAAATGCTTCATTCGTGTGAAAGTGTTCGAGTCTGACTATGGATGATTTCAGGAGAGGTAGAGGTATGCGAAGAAGTATTGTGGAGAGGTGATTTGACAAGAGATAACACAGGTTTGGCTTATTGAGAGTATGACCTTAAATAGAAAGTTATGGATAACATAGATTAAGGAACGAGATTAGTAAGTAGTAGAATGGTGTCTCATTTATCATTCCATACTAGTAGTTGTAGTATTTCTCTTGTAGTTTCTTATGTGTTGATTTCTGTTACTATCTATTGTTTCTTCTACTTCGATTATTGCACTTTCCTGAACTATCGCACTCGTCAACCATCTATAATAAGCAATCACTTTAGAATAAAAATCTGCTTACACTCGATTCTCTCAATATCTCATTTATGAGACCTGGTATGTTATGTTTATTGTTTTACTAATCTCAAGATAAAATAACAAAATGATACATTTGCTGATTTGTACTTCTCCAAATTGTCTTCTAAAGTAATAAGTGTTAACTTCCTTCACATTAGACATATTCATGCAGGCACATAAGGAGATAGAGACATGGAGACAGAGTCCATATCTTGTAAAGATGGTACCTTTGACAAGAAAATTTGCATATTCTGTAGAATAAACAATTTGGGTGCCTTTTAAAGTAAGTTATTCAGTGTGGGGAAGGTCAATTTTTTAGAAAATTGAAAAGTTATTACAAAGGGTATTTTTTTTTCTTCCAAGTGACAAAAGGGGGTGTGGGGATTTTGATTTCTCTTGTGATTTTACAAGTTGGGTATTGTAAAATCTGTTTGAATGGTAGTAACAGTACAAGATTTGGAATTTTCTTGGAAATTTGATTATTGGGTTGTTGATTGGAAGGTAAAGTTGCAATCTTGGAAAAAAATTGGGAAAAAAAAGATGACATCTTCAGCTGTAAATTTGGTGATGACAGTGATTGGGTTTACAGTGAGCATTATATTCATAGTATTTGTGTGTACAAGGTTAATTTGTGCAAGAATTCAGTACTTGACAAGGAGGAGGTCTTCTGCATATACTTCTAGATCTGATCTTAGCATTGTAAGTTCTTGAATTCAATATTCTGGAAATTTTAGTGATTTGTGATATATGTATTTGTTTCGTGTTGAAAATACTAGTTTAGTTGAGCCTATATTGCATAGGGTTGGAGCAGCAAGGCTCAGAAAGGGAAAAAAAATTGACCTTGTATATATAAGATAATTTTCCAGTGAAGAGAGTTCGGATGAACCCCTTACGTCCCCTAGCTCCCCCCCTAGGCTCACACCGAGTTTTGTAGCTACGAGATGTTCTTTCCTTAGTTTTCCATGTTGCTCTATGTTTGCTACTTTATGTTGGGACAAACTAAAATTTGACCTGGGGTAGCTACTATCTAATCATGATTATAGTTTTGTTTGGCACAGTAGTCTAGCTGGTACATAATCTTGTAGGTCTGTGATGCTTAGTTTATTAGGTTTGTGGACTTTTAGGATGCTTTTTATGGCTTGTCATATTCTTTGATTTGAAAATTTTCAAACTTCAAGTTGTGCTTGTAGGTCCTATTCCCTTCACTTCATATCATTTACCCCATATGTAACTATATTAACCTTGTACTAGTTTAATTGCTTACTATATAGTCTATGCACCCAAGGTTGTGGCATAGTAGTCGATGAAGTGGGTTGAGTACCATGAGGTCTCAGTTCAAATTCTAGCAGAGACAAAAAACACTAGGTTATTTCTATCTGTCCTAGTCTTAGTGAACAGAGTTACTTGGTACCTGTTGTTGATGGAAGGTGATAGGTATCCCATGGAATTAGTCGAGGTGTGCAAAAGTTGGCTCGGACACCGTGGTTATCAAAAAAATAATTGAGTTCCCGTACTGTTTGTGTTCTGCTTTAGTAGTAGGTCTCTGTCTTTATATTGGTGGTTGGTCTGTGTAGCCGATAACTCAAGAATATTGTTTTTCAACTCTGGAGCAGAATGCTTTTTTTTTTCTTGTGAATCACTTGTCCCGCTTCCCTTAAACAATAGTTCTTGTTTACCTCGTACAGTTGGAACGTGGTTTACATGGTCTGGAGCCTCTTGCTGTTGCCAACTTCCCTACGAAGAAGTACAGTGATGCATTTTTTTCATTTGCAGAAGATACTCAGTGAGTTGAATCTTTTCTCCCAACTCATATATTGAACTATCTTACATAAGCGTACTTGTTTCTAGTTGGTTGTTTTTGACTTCTTCATGAAATGTACTAATTCCGGAAAGCAAATTTATTTTTGATGAAAAAGGATCAAAAAATTGATCCTTATAGTAGGACTATGAATATGTTTTTGGATTATGTCAACATTGATAACTTGTGAAGTCCATGTGAGTCAAATCTTAATATGACGGTTAGAGAATATTGGAAACTATTGATAACTATGTCAACATTGATAACTGTTACATTTCTCAAAAAAAAAAATATTGGAAATTTTAATTCAATAACATTGCAGAGGACTGATGAGTGGATCAGGAACATAGTGAACATCTGCTACCTGACTTTATTACGTGATAATCGTCTTTGTTTGAGATCTTGAAAATTCTTTTTCTTCTTTTTTCATCTGAATCATGGTATAAAGCATTAGAAACGAAGAAAAAATTATCTGCTCAGTGCAACATGGTTTTGTGTGTTTAGACGAGAGTGTTGACATCCATGTGTAGATTGTCTTAGTTTAGTGTTGGTTTGAACAGATAGTTACAGGCAAGCTTCAAGTGCCTCAATAAGATTTGTTGGAGAGGCAACCAAACTGCACTGAATTTTAATTACAGTGTAGTGCAGTTGGTTTTTATAGTAAGAAGAAAGTCGAATTAGATATTACCTGCAACTCCTAGCCGCTTTTGGGGTGGGGTGGGGATGGGGTGGGTGGGGAGCATATGGACTGATAATATGGAGATGATTCCAACATCTTTTCTAATATGGCAATTGGTGATAGTTGTAGTTTTACCCCTAGTTTGAACCTCTCATCTGTTGTTTTTGCAAGTTCATACTTTGTTGAACCACTAGGAGTAGTGGCCATGGAATTATGGTACTTCCCCAGGCTCTTAAGTTTTCACAGTGAACTTCTTTTGGTGAAATCTTGTCAAGATTCAGTTCTGATTTCTGAATAAAATGGATTGTGTGAATTGTTTGGAATGACACCGAGGGAAAATCAGGTGGAGCGAAGGTCATGAAAAAAGAGACTCTTTTGATTAGGCGACTTATCCTAAGATTCAAAATTTCAGTTATAGTTACTTAAATCTCTTCCTTTTGCTTCAGCCTGTGCCGTATTCCTCCATTTATATTAGAAACAGTTGTAAGCCTACAAGCGGATGAGCCGAATCAGGAGAAAATTAGGATCAATTAGATGCTACCTGCTAACTTGAAAAGTAAATATAGATAAAGTAGGAATGCAAAAAACTGCTATACACTTTAGATGGACAGGTTTGAAGGTGATGCCGATATATTCATCAGGAAGAACCAGTGGGAGGCCGCTCAGCTTAGAAATGTTCAAGCCAATTTTCATTTGCATTTCCCTTGTTAGATATGCCATTGCAGATGCATCTTCCACTTTTGATTGAAGGATCAGAACATTCTTTCATCATTTATCATAGACCCTTTAGCTTTGGATGGTGCCCTTTTAGCTCATGAAGATCTACATTTTCAGCAAAGGAAGCTGTTCATTCATTTACCTTTTGTCGAGCCATCTGAATTTCTTGCATTTCCTCTATGTTCTTATTTGATGCATCCAGCTCTCCTGCTCTTTTCAGAAAGGGAGAAATACTGAAGATAATGAGAAAATCAGACTGTCTAGATCGATGAGATTCACAGTAACGAGTTTCAATTATTCAAAGAAACTTGAAAAGGATGAAATAATCGACTATTTACAAAATTGGGAAAGACGTGGGAATGAGCTGACTCTTGCAGGTCATATGTGTAACTGGAGTTTCTTCAGATAAGTCAAAGAAGAATCAATTTTGGTAGAAAATAATGTTGGACTAAAAAAATCTTGTATTAGATAGCAAGTGTGAGATCGAGGCTATTATATAGCATCGATCCTCCAATGTCCTATCAATGAAAACTACTATTGGTTGCATACTGCACTTTATACTGTAAACCTCATTACGGTAGGAAAACATCAACTTGTGACTTTCCGACTAGTATGCACTAAGCATGTTCTTGTGTTTTCAACGATATGTCAAAGAAAGGGACTGGAGAATGGAGATTACTAGAGGCAGTATGTGTTACTTTCTAGTTTATTTTGGCCATAGAATTCTCTAATTGTGGTCATGCAAATATGTTCTAGTGGACTTTGGCCATCATCCATATCGTTAAGGATGCTGAAAGTTTTTGTGGTCACTCAAAGATTCGGTGTTGTATAGGTCAATTTAGAATATATAGTGAGCCAGACGAGGAGATCAGTAGTTTGATGGAGATTAGGTACTGCTACTGGTGTACATAAAACTTGAAACATGTTGTTCCTTGAGGTGTAAATCATCATAAAACCTTGTAGCATCTTTAGTTACCCTTTTGGTCTCTTTATGAGAGAAAAGTACTATATATATACTAAGTAAAAGGATCTCTTTAAAACTCGAGCCATGGAAAACGTAATCTCTTTGTAGCATCTTTGGTTACTCGTTTGAAATTGAAGTGTAGTTAATTACTAATTGATAGTACATTATTCAACAGTTGAACAGATGTCGAAGTAACATGTATTTTCTTGATCCAACTGTCTGATAGGATTCAAACGGATACCGTGAATGAGTTTGTTTTGAAATGGACATATGTTGCTTATATTGTTTTGTTCGTCCTGTTTTAAGTGTCTCCTCTAGTGTACTTGTGGAATTTTTCAATCAATCACCTTCTGACTTCCTTGTGTACTTCATTGACATAGATGCACGATTTGCCTTGCTGAATATCGGGAGGAAGATACATTACGTATTTTGCCATTATGTGGACATTACTTCCACGCCACATGTATCGACATATGGTTTCAGCAGCACTCTACATGCCCTGTTTGTCGGATTTCCTTGCGCGAGACTGCTGACAAAAAGTGCTTCTTGCAGCCCTTGTTTAGTTCAGCTGTCCGATCTCAATACACGATGGACACCCTGAATGTTAATTCGAACCAATGCTCGTCATCTGGGCAGAGGCTTTCTTCAAGATCACACGACAACCAGAGAACGAACCCCACTACAGCAAGTGCATCAAATGCATAGGCCACAAGAGTATAAATGGCGAAATTGACAGACGAAAGGTATTTACAATGTTGTGATAGCATTCATCTTAGTATCCAGATTTTGCAAGGTGATATCTATGTGCAATAGACTCAATACGGTCCGGTACTTCTCCGAACCCTGCAAATAGCGGGTTTAGTGCACTAGACAACCTAGACGGACTTTTTCCCATTCAAGGCAAACATTTTTTTTTCTCTCTTTTTGTAAATATATAAGTTCAGTTTAGGTGGTAGGAGTCTTGTATATAGGGGCGGAGCTAGAGGGACGAAAGTCCTGAACCCCCTCGTTGGATAATCACACTGTATATATAAGGTCAAAATCTTTGTTTGCGTTTATATAGTAGATAGATGATAAACTTTATTGGTGAAAATCCTGTCTCCGTCATTGTCTGTATAACAACCATTATTTCACTTGATATAGATATGTATATGCCTTGCCTTTTATTCATATTGATATGTTTGCTTGGATGAAGACTAGACATTGCAGTAAATAGCCACAAAAATTGATACTAGTACGTATGGACTATTTAATTTATGGCAACAATAATAGCATATGATTATTCCCATTTATGACCGACGATCGTTTTCAAGAGGAAAGTGAAAACACTTTTTCGGCTAGTTTTTAAATTTGTCCTTTAATATAATAATTTTTTTCACAAGACATTAATTTATATTTTCATATCATAATATCCCATCAGTTATGTCTCACGCCTTTAAAAAAATTGTGTCAAATTCAATTACTAACGATAAAAATTAAAAATCAGTTCTATGTCCTACTAAGTACAAATTCAATTACTAACGATAAAAATTAAAAATCAGTTCATTTAAAGGATAAACCGCACAATTAATAGTATTTTTTTTTCTCTTTTGTTAGAAGGGACCTCTTGCATTTAAACTTTTTGGGCATGGCATTATCAAACTTTATTGTTGTCTTAATTATTACTAACAACTAACAAGAAACCAAATAGAGGGAAAAAAGGAATATAAAAAAAAAGACTTTTTGCTTTAATTTAATGCCTCTCAATTTATTATTAGTACTATAATAACAATAATAGAAATAATAATAATAATAATAATAATAATAATAATATTCATAAAATTAGACAATAATAAGATCTAAAAAGGTCATAAATAAAATACAAAATTCAAACCCCACCACCCCATTCTCACCCCCCCCCCCACCCCCAAACAAAAAAATTCAACAAAAATACTACATATATTAAATTAATTATTACATTCTTGGTTTAATTTTCGCTCTTAGAGTATTTTTCATCACCACAGTAAATTCCAATTTTTCAGTAAAATCCACTCGGGTATTTTCCGGGTCGGACCATTCGAATTCTTGAATTAATCGGGCCAACATTAAACTCACATGGACCGTTGCCATATTCAAACCGGGGCAAATCCTCCGACCCATACCAAATGGTATCATTTTCACACCCGATATACCTGTCATATCCGCGTCCTCCTTACCCAAAAAAAACCTATCCGGGTCAAACTTCTCGGGTTCGGACCATAAATTCGGGTCATCCGAAATCCCGGGTAAGAAAATCTCCACATTTACATCAGTGGGTATATCATACCCGCCCAATTTAGCTGGCTCCGTTACTGCATGGGTCAATGACATGTACGTAGGTGGATGCTTACGTAATAATTCTTTTATTACCGCGTTTAAATATGGCATTTTTTCTATGTCTTTTTCATCGACTTTATTTTCTCCAACAGTATTTTTTATTTCTTCGTATAATCGCGATTGTATACTTGGATTTTCAATAATTCTCCCTATGGCCCACTCTATTGCTGTTGCCGTTGTGTCTGTCCCTCCGTTAAGAAACTCTGAACATAATGTGACTAGTTCTGGCTTCGTCGGCGCTGAATTTCTACCTGTTTTAATTATTATTTTTAATAGAATAACAAAATTAAAGATAATTAGAACACAAATTTTGATATGTGAAAATGACTTTTCTTAAAAATATAAGTTTTGAATTCTAACCATTATGAATTACTGAATTTTCAATTTATGATTTATATATATGTATCAAAATTAAATATAAATTAGTTCAAGTCAAAAAAATTTATCGAACACATGCATGACACCTTATCACTTCTCATAAGAAGGCTTGAATTTATAGTTGAAAGAAAGTTATTCTAAATAAACAAAACTTTTAATATATAGTACAATCTCAACTCATTTCACCAAATTTAAGAAAGTATTTTTTCCCCCACATATAATACTTACGATCCTATCACATTTTTACAAAATATAAAATTATTTTATTAAAGAAAAATTAAAAAATTTAAATAAGTAATTTTCTAAGATAAACTAATTAAAAAGAAAAGAAAAAACTACAATAACAATAACATAATCAATTTAATCACATAAGTTTGGGATCCGAGGAAGATGATATGTATGCAGTCTTAATTACTCATAAGTACTACCTTATGAAGGTAGTGAGGCTAGCTGTTTTCAAGAGACACTCGATTCGCGTAACAAAAATCAAACATGAAAAACGAATACGATAAGTAGCATTAACAAATAATATGATAACTGAAACGATAACGTACCTTCAATTTTGAGATCAAAAAGTGTGTCAAGGTATGAAAATGAAGCTGCAGTTTCATCAATTTCTGGACTTTCTAGAATCTTCTTACGTTTTTCAATAAATGGCACAATTGTTTCAATTTGTTGTTTTCTAACATCCATGGCCCGTTTTCTTTGTTTAGAGAAAAACGGGCTTAAAATTGGTAAATAATCATCCAGTCTGGGATCAAGCGCAATCAAAACACTTTTCATCATTTGATCGATCATTTCAATCGTTTTTTCGTCCATCTCAACCCCAAAACACATCGCGAGTAGGATGCAGAAGACGGCAAATCGGGCATTTTTCAACACCCAAACTACGCCGTCATTTGCATCAGCCTCGGCCCGAATTTTCTCTATCATCTTATCCATAGCGCTTTTTCGTACGGCCCGAAACTCTTTTAGCTTTATTGAGCTAAGCCCGTTTTGTACCATATTTTTCCGTAATGACCTCCAAACTGGCCCGTATACGGCCGCATTGACCGTAAACTTGTCACAACTAAACACGGTCCTGGTCGGGTTTTCGCGAGGTCTACTCGCGAAAACCTGACCTTTTTGGACCAATGCTTCGTGGACTAAGTCCGCGTTGCTTATAATGATCATGGTCCTAGTACCCATTCTTAGGGTAAAAATAGGACCGTACTTCTGACGAAGTTCGCGCATGATCTGGAAAAACGGTTTTCCAGATCGTGCGACTTGTAAAAGGTTACCGACTACCGGCCATCCCGGTGGACCGGGAGGTAACCTTAGTTTTTTTGAATTGTTTTTTTTGGTTAACAAGTAAATTAAGCTAGAAATAACAAATGCTAAAATAGTGAAAATGAGATGATAATAAGGGGAAAGCGAAGAAGTTGAGAAAAAATCCATTTGAAAAATTAGAAGAAAATAGTGCTATTTTTTCTCAATATTCTTTAGTGTGTGTTTGACATAAAAATGAGAAAATTTTGAGTATAAAAAGAGGTAGATAGCTTGAAATTATAGGTGGGGAAATGGGGAAATAATTAATAAGGAACTTTTTCAAAAAGAAGAGAAAACTGTGGGTGTTAATTAATGCAAGTCAAGATTATTACATGTCATTAATAATCGCCTAAGATGAATTGAATTTCTCCATTTTTACTTAGAAGTATCGAGTCTAAGTTGTGAAAATAAAAAGGACCTTTAATTTGTATATATAAGGAGCGCGTGATTCTTTTCAGTGTTTTAAAATGCGCGGGTGTGAGGCGAGGCGTTTTATACAGTACGGGGTGAGGCGTAAATCTCATGGATATACGGGGCATAGTCTCATGTATATTCAATTTTATAGTTTTAATACTAATAAAATAAGTGAAAGTAAACCTTTAATGATTTACAAATAATTTTTTATAAATAATCTATAATATATAGAAATTATATTATGATTTTAATTTGAGATAAGTATTAATAATCAATAATGAAGTAAAAAAAGTATTATAATTACTATTTGAGAAATATCATTACATCAATAATAAAAAATATGACTTAAAACAAAAAAAGTTTAAAAAAATAAATTAAAAATGCTCGGTCTACGTTTTTACTCCCAGAACTTACGTTTTTATGCTCGAGACTTACGCCTCAAATTTTAGAACTTACGTCTTATAAATTTACGTATTTAATTTACACCAAAGGACGTTTTTGATATGCCCCACCCTAAAAATCGCCGAAAAACTCGCCCCAAAACATTTTTGAAAACACTGATTCTTCCTTTAATGAATAGGACGCCGCATGAATCAGGTTCAATATATCAAAACTTAAAGCAGATTGATGAGACATTGAATGAGAAAATCGAAAATAGAAAAGGATACATATTTTTTTTAATGATAATATACATTAATAATATTTAAAAAAATATTATAAAATTAATTATTTATACGACTTATTTCAATGTTACAAATGGATGAAAAAGATGGGATGGAAAAAACGGTGGAGTTGGGAGTTAAGTTATATCTTTACAACTACCTCCTAATACTCACTAAATTTGGACAGAAAATATTAATTAAGACATGACAAAACAATGTAAAAAGTATGAAGTGTTGACTAACAAACATTTATGTTACATTCTTGGCTTTTTGTGCACAAAATTTTAATTCTCCGTTCATTTTTATCGGTTCATATTTGACTTAACATATGTGATATGTTGATTTCACTTTATTTTACTTGTCATAACTTTTCTTTGATAGTCAAATGATATTGAGCTTTGATTAATATGTTAAGATTAAAAAAATAACAAGTTAAATGATATGGAGTAACTTTTTATCATAAATAGGAAGGTGAAAGTTACCAAATTAAAATTGTGGCGAGATGAATATAATTTCTTATTATCTTAAATTAAAAAGAGGATATTTGTGATTGATTTTCATTAGTTAAAAATATTTTTGACTCTTTTTTATTACGAAATTTTAAAAGTACATTTTTTTCAGTATTATGAAAGTGATATGTTTTTACATGAGTAACTCATTTTGTTGCTGTCATATTTGTCCGTCCTTTGCCTAACAAAAGTCCAAATCATGATTTTTGCATTTAATAATAACCAATTTTATTGTTGTAACTTGTAAATTGCAACTCAGTCTATATCTTGCTATTTTTATTGGGGAAACTATCATTAAAAACCAAATTAACTTTTAGTAGACTATTAATTGGTGTTCACTCTATTACTCTATTATTTTCATTATTGAACATAAATTAATAATACAATTATTTGTTGTACTTTTTTCATTTATCAATAGTTAATAAGTAGGACTATAATAGTGACAGAGTCAGAATTTTTTCTGTTTTGAGTATATCCACGAAAAAGAGATTTCATTCCTAGCTAAAACTTCAAGTGGATTTGAAAAATCGAGAAAAATAACTTGATCTTACATATAATATAATTTTCTATTAAAGAAATTCGAATGAACCCCTCACAACTTGTCCCTCTAACTTTGCCCCTACAATCGAGATACTAGTCTTACAACACATGAGCAAGATCCATCGACGAGTAGTCAAACAATCCTCTTAAAGACTTTGAGATCTCAACTGAAAATTTCGAAAGTTATTTGTTTTAGAGTAAAATTAAATCTAAATACGATTGCTTTACTTAGTTTAAGTATTTTGATGAGGAAATATATATTTATTAGAGTAATGAATAAAGAAAAAAAAGGAAATCTATACTATATAATTAAAACAAGAAATGGGAGTTTGAGAGCAATAAATATAAGGAGGTCACAATTGTTGACTGTTAACCAAAAAAAATAATACATAAAAGGTGGGGGTGGGGGGAAATTAATATAGCATGTGAAGTTAGTTGTATCTTCAAACTCCAGAAAGGCACAACTCTACTCACATCACATGTGGTGGACTGTCTGAAACCGAAATATTTATTTATATCGAGTGTTTAGATATAATCGTGTAGGTACTTTTTACTTTACGTAATATGTGAAGATAGCATCATCGAATGCGTATAATATAGACTAGAGATGAATAAGATTTTTTTACTTTTTATAATTAGAAATTTTAAATTCAAGATATGAGAATAGAGATACGCGAGGTAGGCTCAAACTATTCTAAAACGGTTATGAGGAACTAAAATTTCCATTTTAGTAAATCCTTTTATATAGTCAAGTGAACTTTTATACATATCTTCAATTTTTTAAGGGAATTTCAACTTGTACTATGTTACATAATTGACAAAAACAATTATTTTGGTTTATTCCCTTTTGATGATGTAGAAATCTCAAAAGTTTGAAACTATTGAAAAAGTCAACTTTACCAGAACTATCATTCAATAATATACTACTCCAACAATAATAGCAAATAGAGTTTAATTTTATAAATAAGATATAGAGATCAGTAAGATGTTCACAATCTTATTTCTATCTTTACAGGATAGAAAGATTATTTCTGATGAACTCTTGACAAACTTTTTTCTTTATCTGAGTTTAGAATCGATATTGTAAACGAGCTCTTACAGACGTAGTTAAATAATAATATACTAGTCCATAACAATAACAAATATAGTATAGAGATTAGTAAGATATTCACAGTCTTATTCCTATTTTTACAAGACAGAGGAATTATTTTCAATTAGCCTCCAACAATTCCCTTGCTTTATTAAATTTGATATCGATAATGTAAACGAACTTTCACGTTAAATGATAATGTATACAATAAGTAAAAAACAAAAAGAAGGATAAAATGTGTGTCATAATTTTGTGTCAGTGTCAGCATCTTCAAGTTCGGTGAACATAAGATGGCAAAGTGGTGGATTTAATATGGCTCACACACCAAAAATTAAAACAAAATTCAACTCTATCCATTTTGTCCTACCTTTAATTAAATATTATTTTTCCCAATCTTGGATTATGGCTATTTTTTTTTAATTATATATTATTATTTTTTAATGAAAAATAGGTTATTATAATCATAAAAGTTTATATTATAGAAAGGTTAACTGTATTTGATTAATCATGTTATTTCTATTTTTTTCCCGACATGCACATACATTACACGTATATATTGAGTTATGTATTTCATGATTTTGTAAAGTGATATTAATATTACTAAAACAAAATTTTGAATGAATAATCATGTATACATGATGTAATAAAGTATAAGTTTTTGTGAATGATTAGTATAGTATAGTAAATTGCCCGTCGAGGTCAAAATGATTAAATATTGTCTGATCCTATAAAAAGAAACTCTCAGAGTTAATTAAATACATATAATTTATTTTTACTTATTTTTAAATTTTGTTGAACTTGAGGTCATTTTAATAATCTGATTTTAATTTGCAAAACTTTGTATCAACAAGACCGCATAGCGCAGTGGATTAGCGCGTTTGACTTCGGATCAAAAGGTCGTGGGTTCGACTCCCACTGTGGTCGCTGCTTCTCTTTTTCGGATTCAACCGAACTCAATACTAGAGTCCATTCGATGCCTTTTTTTATATTTATACTAAATTCAACTTGAACTATGTGTATATAATCATACATTCTGATCACGCTCGTTCTGAACCTGCCAACTTTAATTATTTAGCTCCTCCATTCATGTCTCTATTTCTTCATAACCTTTTTAGACGGATTTTGTGAATTCAATTGAAATCACTAGAGTCAACTCGAAGCCTTGAGTTATTCGTATATACACACATTAAAAAAAAACTAAAGTGTGTGTGTGAGTGTATATATATTATATTACACATATCACACTCATTCTGAACATATTGACTTTTAATCATTGAATTTACCTTCTGCTCTTACATTCTCATGGTGTCCTCCCTAATTCATGTACCATTCATCGTCACGTAAAGGAAATGTTTTCTCATACTTCATTGATTCAAATTGTTGGTGCACAAAATGTAAACTCGTACGTTTACGATGTCTTCTATAAGCCCAATTATGCCCAATAGGCCCAATAATACTCCGTGCACAAATTACCATTTCATATAGAACAACCAAAACATTTTTTCCAGTATAGTACTACAAAAATACAAATATTTTAACCATTACATTAAATAAATAACTACAATAGTGAAAGGCAGCATACTTATATCTTAGCTGCTTATTCACATTATAAATGAATTTCAAATAAAGATTACTCGAACGCTACTTGTTTGTAACTGAGCCGTAATTGTTGTAGTACTTTCAAGAATTTGGAACAAACACTCCAATGTAGCCAAATCCAGCTACAAGAAAGGCAATGCCTTGCAAGAATAAGTATATGTAGAATCTATTCTTTCCGAACGAGTAGTCGTACCATCCACAAAGCATAAGGTACAACCCTACGAAAATCTCCACGAAATGTACCTTGTTGTACCACTCTCCAATCCGAAAACGAGACTTCTTGGATGCTTTCGTGCTCGTTTTTGCCTTGATTCCATCTCCCAATTTCTCCGTCACGACCCATTCATTGACCCTCCCTACCTCAAATAGTCCAATGAACGTTGCCCTCGTTCGATGAAGGGACATTACATTCTCAAACAAGATCCAAAAAATCAATAAATAGAATGATCTACACATCAAAACGAATAAAAAAAGAATCAAAATTGGAAATAATTAAGACATCAAGCCCAAGTGACAAATTAAATCTGTGAGGTCTATTGGACCATACAACAGACAATACGTGTCATGGGCTCGGATCACGAGACCAATTGTTTATTTTATTTACCTTGGAGTCCCTACAGCATTGAGGAGGGTAATTGTTGAGGGAATATACACAGCACCCCATATAGGAACTTGAACTTCAGGGATCAAAACAGTTGTAGGCATAATAACACAATAAAATATAAATGTAACAATATGTGCAATGATTTTTCTCACAAAGAAGAAGCTGTAGATCAAATAAAACTTCTTCCATATTGAGACTTTCTGCAAATATCAAAGTTAAAAAAATATATATTATCATACTATCAGGTCACGTAAAAGATATATAACACTACATGAAAAAATAGTGTACACTATAACAAAAACAATTTTTAGCGTCAATAGATATACATATTAATAAAGAGTGCTAAAATCTTTACCAGTATTAATTAATTGTTATTTGATCCAATGTCGCTATAGGCTTTAGGGACATCTACAAAGAATGTTAATTGCCGCTAAAAATACATATTATACCGCTAGTGTATATAAGTTAAATAGTGCTAAAGTCTTTACAAAGAATGTTATATAAGGACATTTACAGGCTTTAGGGACTTTATCGTTGCTTCAAGGTTTCATTTCACTAACAATATAATATAGTGTAGTATTTAAGTGTAAAATTATTATACTACTAGTGTATTATGTATATAAGTTAAATCCGTACTAAACAAAAAGGGGTATATGGCTTATAACTCACCTTATTTGAAGCAATTTCCCCAACCATTTTCTTGAAAAGATTAGCAGGTCCACAAGACCATCTATGCTGTTGATAACGATAGGCATTGAAAGTACTTGGCAATTCATTTTTCACCTAATTGAATTTTTTTTTCAAAAAGAAAAAACAATCGCATAAATAGAGCGATATGGATAGTAATTATTCATAAAATTGACCCTTAACTTGCTTAAATTGAGACATAGTTATTATTAGGTGAAACATAACAAATTAGCCGGTGATATATAATATGTGTAATAATCTATAACGAGTTTAATATACGTATATGATTAGAAAAACTAAACAGTAACATCATATATTTTATTTTATTTTACTTAGATAATGTAAGATTATGGGACCCTTTTCATCCTGTTCTTTAACATTAAATTTAACTTCCAATCATTTATTTTTTTCAGAGTGTTTGTTGAAGTTACTTCTAAAGAAAATGATTTCTGACATAGTTCCACTGGCTATTTCTGCAAATTTTAACTTTTTTTATACACATGGTTTACTTCATACACGACTCCAAAATCTAGAGTCAGTACATCTAGAAACGAATGTGATTCCACTAATTTATGACTTTTACGCACTGCTTGGGCCGAGCTACACTACCAAGACATCTCTATTCAATTAAAGACGTCCATGCCATAAAATGAGACTAGGGATCCCATATTCCCCTATTTTTGCATATGTATGCATATGATTCGAGCAAAAAGCAATATGTTTAGTTGAACTTACAGAACTCGTACTGAACGTACCTTTAGGTCACCAACGTAGACAAATTTCCAGCCTTTGAGACCGGCTCGAATGGCGAGATCCATGTCTTCCACTGTTGTTCTATCTTTCCATCCTCCAGCTTCATTAAGAGCTGAAATTCTCCACACTCCAGCAGTTCCTTTCAAATTGAACGAACTCGTGATGATTTATAACATACTGAATTTTATTCACTATAACAGTAAAGTCAATAATTGACTATTTTGACTGTCACGTTAAAGTAACTGAACTTTTGTGTTGTACATATATTGCCTTACCATTGAAGCCAAAAAATGCATGATTTGATGATCCAACTTCTTGCTCCACTTTGAAATGGTAATCAAGTGACATTTCTTGCATTCTTGTTAACAAGCATTCATCAGAATTCACTACAATTAATAACAATTTACAACAATTATTTTTTTGGTCAACATCTACCATAATTTTCATATGAAACTCAAGTTACAAAATGGTCACACAATTCAACACTATCGTTAGAGTTCAAATCTCAACGTCACACACAAAAGCACGTTATGAGACGATGTGTTAAGAAAAATGTAACAACAGAGTCATCTGGAAAGGATAGAGTGTACGTAAGCCTTACCCCTACCTCAGAAGTAGAGAGGTTGTTTCTCATAGTCGTTCGGCTCAAGGAAAAAACAAATCAAAGCAATAACAACAAAGCATGTTGAACAATAACTACAAACAAAATAATACGATAATTAAAGTACAAGAAACAACAGATCGAAAATAGCCAAGAAACTACAAGAGTAATACTACGACTAAAGGGATTAGCTAGACAAACAACAATCTACTACTTGCTAACCTACTACCCTAATACGAGTCAAGGAAAAAGGCATTTACCAAATTTCCAACGAGCTTGAACGAGTCCGATTTCGGGGTTGTGTACAAGAAAAGGGACAGTTCTCAACAAGAAATGAAATTCAGGTTGAAAATCAGCATCAAATATGGCTACAAAATCACACATTTTCACATAATTATGCTTCATTCCTTCCTTCAATGCCCCAGCTTTGTACCCTTTTCTATTGTCTCTTATTTCATATTTGATGTTCACTCCTTTACTTGCCCATCTCTTGCACTCTTGTTCCACCATTCCCTATTAAAAAAAAACAATTTAAGCTATTACACTCTATCTCGTCATCAAAAAGATAATTACGTGTACAACAGGTAAAAATAAGTATTTTTTATACAATCGGTGTGTATAAGTTAATCGTTAGGTTATATATATTGATACAATCAATGTAGCTTAAAATGTGATAGTAGGTCATTTACGAAGTATATATATATATAGAGAGAGAGAGCGCTCAAACTCTTTAAAAATATTGTTGTTTAGGTGTTGAATCCTCCATCCTAGCATTGTTGGAGGATCAGAAACGAGTACGATAATATATTCCGAGCAACATAACATTTACCATGTTTATGAATTATGATGCTACTAATTAACTTATGTTCATCATACAAATTTTAGGATACTTCCTCTTTAGAATTAAAAAACATTTCAAATAATATTAGAAAAAAAATATTTTTTCTTCCTACAAATTATGGAAAATTAAGGTATTAATTGGACCTTAGTGATAGGATCAGTTGAATCATCAAGAACTTGAATTAAAATTCTATCAGCTGGCCATGAAAGATTACAAGCAGCTCCAATAGACAATTGATATACCTGCAAATGAACAATTTACAAGAAGATTTTAACTTCGATAGCGTAAATGAATTTTTACACTATCAGATCATATAAAACATGAAGTAACGTCTATATGTAACACGTTCATGATAATTGATACTAGTGAGTCGATAAGTAAGGCAAATCGTACGAAAAGTTCTATAAGTTCCAATTCTTCTTATGTCAATATGATGAAAAAATATATATTTTAAAATATAGGTCAACAATAACAACATCTATATTACGCCTCAGTCTCAAATAAGTTGAGGAAAGGAAGAGAGTTGTGATAGGCTGACAACCAATGTAAAACTTGTCAATTCACGTCGAATCTTCATAATACATAAATTTTAAAATGTTGGTCGAAGAAGTTCATATAATTTGAATCTCGATCAAATTGAAAATTTGTATTACCTCTCTTTCATTATACATTGGTATTTGAATTAATACCATAGGATAAGAAGAATTTGCTAGCTCCAAATCATCTTTTATTGGCTCCCATTTGTACTTCTTTTCTGGTTTTTGCCTTAAAATCTTGATAAATACTATGACAATTCCCATATAAACTTTCTCAACAAATAACATCAAAGACATTGCCAAACATAAAATAACCATAATTTTAAGAAATGGCACAAGTAATGGTGCTCTAACTTGTTGCCAAAACAATCCAATTTGGCTAGTAATTCCATGATCAAAATAAATATTCAAGTCCATTTTCTTGGCTATATCTTAAATATATTTTTCTTTAAATATAATTTAAGACAGCCAAGAAAATTGTATAATGTGAAAAAAGAGAAAAAAGTTTGAGGTGTGAGTAGATAGAGAAAGAGCTAAGAGATGGTGCTATATATAGAGATAGTATATATGTTTGTGCAAGGTTTTAAGTTTACGTATAGATCGTTATAATATAGAGTAAAGCTTAAGATTATTTTTTGAGTTCATGATAAAAAATAAAAAACATATACATTTAAAGTATCTCGGCTTTTCGAGTTTCATATCTGAAGTATTAGGTATGCAAGAATTTCTAACCTGAACCACCATGAAATGTTTATCGTAACATGCCTCAAATATCAATTGTTCTTTTTTCATATCTAAAATATCACAATCGTTCAAGAAAGAAAAGAGAACAACTGATAGTTGAGGTGTGTTTAGATATACATTTGGTGATAGTCCATATAAGAAACTAGCACATCTGATAGTTCAAGTATGAAGCTCAAAAAATTGAGATACCTAAAGATATGTTTTTTATTCTTTACTCTTAATTTAATTTATAATAAGGCTGATTTGAACATTTAATTTTGTTTATTTAAAGTGATTTATTTTTCTTTTGGTAATTTTGTTTCATTTTAGAAAAAAAATAAACAAAGAAGTATGGTAAAACATAAAGGACAAATAAAGTTTCTCAAACTTCAATTTCATCCAACTTTATTTATGGAAACAAGCTAAATTTGAATCTTTTTCTTCAAAAATTCCGGTTCTTTTTTTTTTCTTTTATATATAATAATAAAATCAATTTTATAATTGGAGTTCTATCTAAATGCTAATTGCTCCATTAGATTATTATTTTTGGAAAGGAGACCATCACTATTTATTTAACATGAAAATGAGAAGAAAAGGCCAAAAATTTGACAAAATAGATAAAATTTTGATCATAAGAAAAGCTTTGTCTATGTCTAACTTTATTACTTCCTCAGTTCAATAATAGTTATTTATGACTCTATTTACTTAGCACAGAAATTAAGAAGCAGTAAACGATATGAGTAATTTTACCAAATTATTCTTATTAAATATAAGTCATCTAAACATTGAAAAATGAATCGTACTTAATAGCAAGGTTAAAATAGACACAAATAATAAATTATTCATTATTTTATAAACCGGACAAGTATTGTTTAGACGTCTCAAAATAGTATATTTAAAAAGCATATGAAAATTACGGTAGAAAGAGAACTCAATAATTTGATTCTCGAAATTCAAATAACACCACATAAATTGAATTGGATTGAGTAACAAAGTTTAGTAACCATACCACATATATTGAATGTTGCTTTGTTAAAAGAAGAAGAATGATATTATATCTATATGCAATTGTTGCTTTAATTAGGTTTGTGTGGGGACTATATAGGCCTTTGATTTTTGCTTTTGTGCTACTCCAAAGACTATATATCTTTGTCAGTCTCTTTGAAACTAAATGGGACAATGGGGTATAACAGAGCCACATGCAAAATTATAATATCATCCACCAAACCCAAACTAACTATTTGAAATTTTTTTAAAAAAATTACATACACATGGCTTAATTAATTTAGTATAATAATTTAATGTAGTGTAAAAATCTTGGTTTTGTAAGAAGTATAGTGCTTATAGGGTGTGTTTGTTTTGAAAACAATCAATTGTATAATTTGTGTTTGTATAAAACAAGAAAGAGAGAAAGACAAAAGAAAACTGGGAAGGAGAAGATCGTATTTGTATAATCATAAGTGTATAGGACGAAAATATATGCATTTGTATTTGTATATACAATTTTCTCTCGCATTATACAAACACAAACACAATGTATACATTTGTGTTTGTATAAAGTGAGAGTGGCGAGCGAGATCTGAGAGAGGGGAACGAAAATATATGTATATATATAATTTTCTCTCGCTTTATACAAACACAAACGCATTTTATACATTTGTGTTTGTATCAAAGCGAGAGAGGCAAGGGAGACTGCCCAGCAAGAACGAGAGTGGCGAGAGAGATTCACCAGGGAGAGAGGCAATATAGCAACAGTTTGCTACGGGGTACAATTAAATCAAACTATGATTATGACATTTAATTTGAATTAATAGTTTGCTATTATATACAATTTCCCTAAAATATAAAGTACAGTAAGATTTGTATTTATGTAATTTTTTTAAATTTTATGGGAAAATACCATTCTTGAGACTCACTACATAAATAATAGTACCTTTTTTATAGGAGAAACTATATAATTAGACATACTCATCTATCTTATACACTATTATTACCTATACTTTCAAAATATTACGTATATTATTACTAATCAAAAGTTTTGTACCATATATTGAAGAAGATAAACTTAGATACATGTATTTTTCCAAGCAGATACATCAAAATAGGGAGAGAGTTGAGCGAGTTGGAGAGGGAGGTGAGCCAGATTTGTTATGTATTTTAGATACACGAGAATTACACTAGATACATGTATTTGTATGTATCTAATGTAATTCGTATCTAGGATAAAGATACATAGAAGAGTGGCGAGCAAGATGTATGTATCTAGTGTGATTCACATGTATCTAGGATATCAAATACATAGGAAACTAGCGAGCGAGATGGGAGAGAGGTGAGGGAGGCGAACAAGATTTGTTCAGTATCCCATATATATGCGAATGCACTTGAATACAATGTATTTATTACAAATTATACCTAATTTTGACCTCATTTTTCTCGAGATATATGTATTTGGACACACCAAAATTTAATAGAATTCATAGTATTATAAACTAGAGTATATATAAGTAATTAGCTCCTAAACTAATAAATTTCCTTTTTTAATATTACAAATATCAAATACGAGTGTTAACTGCCAACATGGAATAGTTAATCAATTCAAGAAAATATATAATGAAATATCTAGTTTATTATGTGTAAAAATTTACATGTTCACCTGTTTTGCAATAATTTTATACATTTGGCGTCTGAAATTTTATTATTTTTTATATGAAATTCAGTCACATATAAATTAAACCATCTATCTTATGGGAATAAAAATATCTTTAGTTTGAATCTATCATATGACTTGAACTCAAACTTATTTAAAATAATAAAATAGATAACTTAGCCTATTTCAAAACTATTTTTATTTGACACGTTTTACTTTTCATAAATTAAATTCAAATTATGTTTTTCATTATATTAATATAATAATATGAGAAAATAGTTTGTTAGAAAATATTGGGGTCTTAATTAACAAATTAAACTTATTTGGTGTCTTATTCCAATTTCCAAAGTATAGTCGGAGAAGGATTACAGTGACGGCGAATTTGTTTATAAATATATCAGCGGCGAGTTTGTTTGTTTATTTTCCGATGGATGGAGAAAAAACAGTTTATTTTCGTGTGGATGAAGAAAAAGCAGTTTCTTTTCCGGTAGAGGAAGTAAAAGAAGTTTGTTCTCCGATGGACGAAAAAATATTTTTTCCTTTTCCGATAAACGGAGGAGGAGAGGAAATTGCTGTATCTCCACGGAGCCGAGATGATATGACAGTATTTGAGATACGGGGATTTACTAGTTGCGTATATAGATTATTAGGTGTAGAACCTTTTGATTTCTTTGCCTACAAACCTGTGCTGAGAATTGGACGCAGGAAGCCAATTTTCGCACCAACCTTAATGATACAGAACCTTTTCTTTCAATTTCTTCATCATCGGAATTGAATTTCTTCATCATGATGTAGTGGAAGCTTGGTTCTTACTTTAATGTTTTTAGTAACGGTGGTCTTAATGTGTACTGGAGTTAATTACATATATGGAGGTAGTGGTGCGCATGAAGCTTACCCGTTGCATGGTAAGTTCACTTTATTAACAATGACCTACGATGCTCGGATCTGGAATCTGAAAATTTATGTCAATCATTACTCAAGATGTTCTTCAGTGCGTGAAATTGTTCTAGTGTGGAATAAACGACAACCTCCAGAATTGAGTGAATTTGATTCTGCAGTGCCAGTAAGGATTAGAGTAAAGAAACTAGCACACACACCTGATGTATGAAACTCGAAAAATGAAAGAGAACATGCAATGTCCAATCTATCTCACCTCAAGCAATTTGGTTAAATAAAAAGCCCTTTTTGGGGACTGATCAGAGCCAGGGAAATTCAAAGGAGATTAGTCTAAACTAACAATTTTCTCCTCTTATTGTACTAAATGGTTACACCAGTGATCGATCGCATAAGCTAAATCAGACACCATAAAAGCAGCAGCAGCATGCATTTCCTACCTCCTCAAGCTAGATGTGCACATACAATCCAGACATGAATTTAGTTGTTTAAACACACATTGACTAACTGTACAGAACAGAGAGATCGATGCCAAATTAATCAATCAAATGGCTTCAAAGCCAACAAGACAAACAATCAAACCAGTACTCAATCAAAGAGAGGAGCAAATCAAAGCTAAAAACTAGCTAGCTAGAAACTCAAAAAATGAAAGAGAACATGCAGTGTCCAATCTATCTAACCTTAAGCAATTTGGTAAAATAAAAAGCCCTTTTTGGGCCTGATCAAAGCAAGGGGAATTCAAAGGAGATTAGTCTAAACTAACAATTTTCTCCTCTTACTGTGTTTTGGAATGTCAAGATCACCTGGACGTATTACTAAATGGTTACACCATTGATCGATCGCATAAGCTAAACCAGACACTAGAAAAACAGCAGTAGCATGCATTTCCTACCTCCTCAGGATAGAGGTGCACATACAATCCACACATGAATTCAGTTGTTTAAACACACATCGACTAACTGTAAAGAACAGAGAAGTCGATGCCAAATTAATCAATCAAATGGCTTCAAAGCCAACAAGACAGACAGTCAAACCAGTACTCGATCAAAGAGAGGAGCAAATCAAAGCTAAAAACTAGCTAGCGAGAAACTCGAAAAATGAAAGAGAACATGCAGTGTCCAATCTCTCTCACCTCAAGCAATTTGGTAAAATAAAATGTCATTTTTGGGCCTGATCAGAGCAAAGGGAATTCAAAGGAGATTAGTCTA